ACGGTTAGATGAGCGTCCAGGGGTCCTCTTTAAGGTCAATGACGTGTTCCGGGGGGGGGGAGAGCCCCCGGAAGCTCAGGGGTTTTTGGTTTTTAATTACCGTCAGATGAGCATCCAGGGGCCCGCCTTAGGGCCCTTTGTGGGGTCCAGGGGACAAAGCCCCCGGAAGCTCGGGAGGTTTTGGGTATTTAATTACGGCCAGATGAGCATCCAGGGGCCGCCTTAGGGCCCTTGGTGGGGTTCCAGGGGGCATAACCCCCGGAAGCTCTGGGGTTTTAGGTATTTAATTACGGTTAGATGAGCATCCAGGGGCCCTCTTTAAGGTCAATGACGTGTTCCAGGGGGGAGAGCCCCGGAAGCTCAGGGGTTTTGGGTATTTAATTACAGTCAGATGAGCATCCAGGGGCCCGCCTTAGGGCCCTTGGTGGGGTCCAGGGGACAAAGCCCCCGGAAGCTCAGGGGTTTTGGGTCAATTACGGTCAGATGAGCATCCAGGGGCCGCCTTAGGGCCCTTGGTGGGGTCCAGGGGCAGAGCCCCCGGAAGCTCAGGGGTTTTAGGTATTTAATTACGGCCAGATGAACATCCAGGCGCCCGCCTTAGGGCCCTTGGTGGGGTTCCAGGGGGCATAACCCCCGGTAGCTCGAGGTTTTTAGGTATATTACGGTCAGATGAGCATCCAGGGGACCACCTTAGGCTTGATGGGGCTCGGGGGCGGAGCCCCCGTAAGCTCTGGGGTTTTAGGCATTTAATTACGGTCAGATGAGTATTTTTTTATACCTTATTTGTGACATTGGCAGGTCACTTATTTTTTCTCTCCGTCTTTCTTTCTTTTTCTCTTTAACATACTTTTTCAAAAAGTGAGGCGGGGGGGGGGGCTCGAGCCCAGCCACCTTGCAGACCATGACATAAAGGCTTCTAAATAAGCGTATTTTTCGCCTGACTGTAGTTTGAGAATTTCTTATTGTCCAACAAACGCATAAAAGGTATGACTTACAAAAAAATGGAGAAAAAATACCGGAAAATCATGTCATAACAGCAACATTTGTAAATCACTGGTATCGAATAAGAAATACACCCCCATCAGTACGCCAGCTTTCAGGGGCTCATGTCTTCTCACCCCTATTACAAAAAAAAACAGACACGCTTTCCCATTCTCGCACAATATGTCCACGATATGCGCGTATCGCTATTATAAAGACCTACATTGATAAATACCGTATAGGTGGAATGCGCAATGTTTATGAAATTTAATTTCTGTGAACTTTCCTTTTCTTTGAATGTGATTTAATTCAGGTTTTTATTATTGTTATGTTCTTTTGGGTTAAAAATACAAACCATGTTTACTCCTTTACTGCTTTTTTTTTTTTTTTTTGAGGGGGGGGGGCAAAAACGCGTTTTGCCCCCCTACTTTTTTGATTGGGGGGCAACTGCCCCCCCCCCACCTCCGGCGCCTATGCTTGAACGCAGGCGCGCCGGAAGCAGTTTGGGATTGGGGGGGGGGGCAAACATTCCAGGGGGCTCACCTTCCAGGGGCAGTGACGTAACGAGCAAAAACGTTTGGAAGGGGGGGGGCAGAAGAAAAATCTGCATCACCATCACTCTTACACGTTACATGCAGGGCAGGCCCCGCGGAACGTTTTTCAAAGTGGATTATTAACAATCAGGTAGAGCGTAAAATGGCGTGGGGTCCAGGGCCTGGGCCCGGCCCCGGTAGGGGGTCAAGGGGCTAAGCCCCCAGAAGTTTAGGGGTTTTAGGCATTACAATTATGGTCAGATAAGCATATTTAGATACCTTATTTGTGACACTGGCAGGCCACTAATTGGCGGAGAGTCCAGGGAGCAGAGCCCCCGGAAGCTCGAGGGTTTTAGGTATTCAATAACGGTCAGATGAGCATACAGGGGACCGCCTTAGGGCCCTTGGTGGGGTCTGGGGCGGAGCCCCCGTAAGCTCTGGGGTTTTAGACATTTAATTACGGTCAGATGAGCATCCAGGGTCCCGCCTTAGGGCCCTTGGAGGGGTCCAGGGGGCAGAGCCCCCGGAAGCTCAGGGGTTTTAGGTATTTAATAACGGTCAGATGAGCATACAGGGGACCGCCTTAGGGCCCATGGTGGGTCCGGGGGCAGAGCCCCCGTAAGCTCTGGGGTTTTAGGTATTTAATTACGGTCAGATGAGCATACAGGGGACCGTCTTAGGGCCCTTGGTGGGGTCTGGGGCGGAGCCCCCGTAAGCTCTGGGGTTTTAGACATTTAATTACGGTCAGATGAGCATCCAGGGTCCCGCCTTAGGGCCCTTGGTGGGGTCCAGGGGGCAGAGCCCCCGGAAGCTCAGGGGTTTTAGGTATTTAATAACGGTCAGATGAGCATACAGGGGACCGCCTTAGGGCCCATGGTGGGTCCGGGGGCAGAGCCCCCGTAAGCTCTGGGGTTTTAGGCATTTAATTACGGTCAGATGAGCATATTTTGGCGTGGGGTCCAGGGCCTGGGCCCCGGTAGGGGGTCAAGGGGCTGAGCCCCCAGAAGTTTAGGGGTTTTAGGCATTAAAATTATGGTCAGATAAGCATATTTAGATACCTCATTTGTGACATTGGCAGGTCACTTATTTTTTCTCTCTCTCTTTCTTTCTTTTTCTCTGTAACAAACTTTTTCAACAATTGAGGGTGGCACGAGTCCCCGAGCCCGGCCGTTCTGCAGACCCTAACATAAATGCTTCTAAATAAGCATATTTTTCGCCCGACTGTAAACTTATTTGGGAATTTTTTAATTTTCCAACAAACGCATAAAAAGGTATGACTTACAAAAAAAATGAAATAATATACCGGAAAATCATGTCATTTCAGCAACATTTGTACATCACTGGTATCGAATAAAAAAAAATACCCCCCCCCCCCCCATCAGTACGCCATCGTTCAGGGCTCATAAGCTTCTCACCCCTATAACAAAAAACAGACACGCTTTCCCATTCTCTCGCAATATGTCCACGATATGCGCGTATCGCTATTATAAAAACCTACATTGATAAATATAGGTAGCATGCGCAATGTTTAGGAAATTTAATTCCTGTTAACTTTCCTTTTCTTTGAATGGAATTTCATACGTCATTTAATTCAGGTTTTTATTATTGTTATGTTCTTTTGGGTTAAAAATACAAACCATCTTTACTCCTTTACTGCTTTTTTTTTTTTTGAGGGGGGGGGGGGCGTTTTTTTTTTTTTTTTTTTTTTGGGGGGGGGGGGGCAAAAATGCGTTTTGCCCCCCCTCCCACACTTTTTTGATTGGGGGCAGCTGCCCCCCCCCACTTCCGGCGCCTATGCTTGAACGTCTTGATCTGCAAAGCCTAAAGCGTTGAAGTTGAACGGAAATGAGGAATGGCGAGAACGCGCTGGGTTTTTATAACTCCCGAGTCAGGACGGGATTGCACACGGGGTTGAACCATGGACTTACTAGACGTCCATGGTTGAACTGCCTTTGAACGGGGTTGGTCGGGTTAAAAACTAGTTAGAACAGGTGGCGAACTAGTAAGAATGTGTTTGGACGTATTGGGAACGAGGTAGAACTAGTTAATAATGGGAGTTAAACTGGCTACGGACTGGCTTGGACTGCCTAATCTACCCGATCTGAACTTACTATGAACTGGCTGTGGACGGGGTACAAACGAGATGGACGTATTGAGGACTGTTTACGAACGAACTAGGATCGTATTATAGACATTTTTCTGACCTGTCTCTCTAGTCTTGGGGGGGGTAAGAGGACACCTTTTTTTTTTTGGTCTCAAAATTTGAAAATTTGACATTTTGCTCCGTTGGGGGGGGGGGGGGTAAGGTCACCTTTCTTAGGTCAGCCATGGGGTATTTTTTTTATTTTTATTTTTTAATAATTTAAAAAAAAAAAAAAAAAAAATCCAAAGGGGGGGGGGGGTTTAGCGATTTTTAGGGGGGTTTACACACATAAAAATACCAAAGGGGGGGGGTTTAACCCCCCAAACACCCCCCCCCCCTGCGTACGCGCCTGGATGTAGGTGTCTGAGGCAACTGCCCCAGGTGCTTTATTTTCATTTGAATAAATGACACGGCGAAAGAGGGACCTGGGTCCTGTTTCATAAAACGTGATATCAATCACAAGTTACAAGCTACTGTTATAAGCTACTGAAATCATGGCATCTGATTGGCTGAGAGCAAATTTGTCATAGAAATTTAGCAGTTGTTATAGATAATAAGTTTTATGAAACAGGCCCCTGGTCTGGTGGAGTAAGAAGTTCTTATAAATCGTGTTACTATTTATTAGTATAGCGACGTGCAATCGATCAGCAACCCGACTTTTAATTCTTAAACGCGAACAGGGGATTCATAGTAACAATTGAAAGAACTATTATTGAACAAATAGAAACTGGAGATCGCAGACATACTACAATCGAACACTGCCTACCACACGCTGCACTTTGACACGAAGTACGTGATAGGTAAAGCTCATTTTACATCCATAAAGGAGAGGGAAAAAACACAATAACTTCCCAGGCCATCGTCATAACATCTAGGGTCTTTCTGACGTACTATTCATTTACACATTACAACAAATCATATTTAAGAAATAAACCACCACAGTTACCCGCGTCTAAACTTGAATGATCAATTATCAAAAACTTTGTTCTGATGGCTAGACATTCACTTCAAAGGTAATAATGTATGCAAATCATGCATGTTAAAAGAATGGATATCTTGACTGTATTACTATCATAATCTATCCCTTATCATTAATAAAATGATCACATATAATATAGTTTATGTACATACAACTGAGTAAAATGGAGATGGCGTACATAATTTCGAACACTGCCTGGTACACGCTGCACTTTAATGAGTCGGACTTTGATATGAAGCACATGATGTGTGCCATCCGTAATGGAGAGAAAAACACGACATAAATTCCCAGTCCATCGTGATAATATGTGGAGTCATCTTCATATGCCTGTGAAAATACCAGATCACATGTCACTGGGTGTTATCAATGCCAGTTTGTTACTTTGAACAGCGCACTGGAGTGTTTGTTATATTTATTGGCAATATCGAACATTGGTGTTGTGCGTTGGCCTAACAGATTCGCTACGATTTGACGGGATACATTATTCGTACACTATTCATAGTATACTCATCATTTTAATGTCATTTTCATTCGTCAAAGACTAAATATGTTTTTCCTATCATCAACGTCAGTATTACTCGGAGTTATAGGGTTTCTCTTCTGTTTATGGTTCGTTCGGCGTCCAAAAAACCTTCCACCCGGGCCATGGTCGCTGCCAATCATCGGATACCGATTCAAATCGGGTCTAATTCACGAGGCTTTCGTGGACTTGGCGAGGAAGTATGGGCCCGTTTTCAGCGTTCGGCGAGGCCCTCTTCTCTTTGTTGTCTTGAACGACAGGGAGAGTATGAAACAAGCTCTGGTGAAGTCAGGACAGTGGCGGATCCAGGGGGGGGGGCCCGGGGGGCCCGGGCCCCCCCCCCTTGAGAAAAAAATCATGTAAAATCACGTGATTTTTACCTTTTTTGGGGGTTGGGCCCCCCCCCCTGGCGCTCAAGGGGGGGTGCAAATTGAAATTTTTTTGAGGATCAAAAAAAAAAAATGTGCTCACTACCCCCCCCCCCCCCCCCCCCCCCCCCCCCCCCCCCCCCCCCCCCCCCCCCCCCCCCCCCCCCCCCCCCACTGAGCGAATTTTTGGCCGGCGCGTTTTTTAAATTTTCGGGAGCAAAAAAAAAAAAAAAAAAAAAAAAAAAAAAAAATTGTGTTCTGTACCCCCCCCCCCCCCCCCCCACTGAGCGACTTTTCGGCCGGCGCGATTTTCAAATTTTCGGGAGCAAAAAACAAAAAAAAGTTGGGCCCCCTCCCCTAAGAAATCCTGGATCCGCGCCTGAGTCAGGAGAATTCTTTTCAGACCGATTCATACCTGGGCATCTCAGATGGGGAATTCCAGATGCTGAAAAGAATGGTAAAGTAGGCCCATGTACCGCATCCCGCTTGTGGATTCTCAAAAAGGCCCATGAAATTTGTATATAATAAAGTATAATCTTTACGATTTAAAAGCTTACGATTTAAAAGCGAACTTACCTTGCAAACGTATAAGTTTTTCTTGTTTACAAAATTCAATGAGTATGAAGGCAAACAGAGTTTAGGCTGTTTGTGTCTGTTTTATATTTAACCAAATCTGCTTTATCTTTCTTATAGCTTCCATTGTTTGGAGTAATGGCAAGCCATGGGATGACCAGCGAAAATTCTCTCTTCCTGCTCTTCGCTCCTTCGGCTTTGGTAAGAAGAGCCTCGTCCCTCAGATCAACCTTGAGTCTCGTTATCTGGCTGATGAAATCAGGGCTCTCCATGGTGAACCCACGGATCTATCGGCTTTGTTGAATAAAGCAACTGCTAATGTCATTTCACAACTGGTCTTCGGTCGCCGATATGAGTACGACGATCCCGAATTTATTGGCGCTCTGGAGGCATTGGCGGATGCCTTTGGTCTCGTCTCAGAAACTGATCCAGTTATTGTCTTTGAATCACTTGTTCATACTCCGTGGTACAAACCCTACCGTGGTTGCATATTCAAGCTAAGGGACTTCGTCATGTCTCATCTCTACAACCATCAAGAAACTTTCCAGAAAGATAATATCCGGGACTTCGTTGACGCGTTCCTCGCACACGACATCTCGAAAGATTACCCCATGGACACGTTCTGGAGGATTGTGTTGGATTTCTTTGCCGCTGGTACTGAAACCACAGCGGTGGTGACTTCATGGGCGATACTCTACCTAGCTGTTCACCCAGATGTTCAGAAGAAGGTATAGAATGATTGATTGATTGATTAATTGAATTATCGATTGAGTGCTCTTATTCATCAAGTTTAGGTACAAGCACTAAAATCGTGATATCACTAGATCATGGACTTTACAAGGGTTCTAGGACACCTACCCCCTGGACATCCACCCCCCGGATAACCACCCCCAGTCAACTACCACATAGGACAACTACCTCTTAGGACAACTACCCCCTAGGACAACCACCCTCTAGGACGACTACCCCTGGGACAACTACCCCCTGTCAACTACCCCCAGACAACTACCCCCTAGGACAACTACCCCCTAAGACAACTACCCCCGGACAACTACCCCTACGACAACTACCTCCGGACAACTACCCCCTGGACAACTATCCTAGTGGGTTGTTGTCTGGGGTAATTGTCCTAGGGGGAAATTTCCCCTCCTTGCAACCACCCCCCTAGGGAGCGCGCTTCGCGTGCTCACTACCGCCCCCCCCCTAAAATATAATCCTGGCTACGCGCTTGGACATGACATGGTGAAGTAGGGGTGGGGGTGAGGGATAACATTTCCCGACAAGTTAGCATACATTTTGTTAAAATACGCGTATTTGGGGTTGAATCTTAAAGTGTTTTTTTTCCACCAATAGGTTCAAGATGAGTTGGATGCAGTTGTCGGGCGTGGCCGACAACCAGACACCAGTGACCGCCCAAACCTTCCCTACTGTGACGCCACCCTGATGGAGATTATGCGCATCCGTCCTGTCCTCCCTGTCTCCCTGCCTCACCTGACATCTGCAGATGTCTCCATTGGACCTTACACTATTCCCAAAGGGACCATCGTTATCCCTAACCTGTGGGCTGTTCATCATGATCCCAAGGAGTGGTGTGATCCCCACCTATTTAATCCAGACAGATTTCTCAGTGCTGATGGTCAAACAGTCGTGAAGAACGAGGCTTGGATGCCATTCAGCATTGGTAAGATAGCTCGTGTTCTTCTTCTTAGGGAATGAACTCGTAATAATAAGAAGAAGAATCCTTTAAAGTCCACTCCAAATTTTATTAAACCGAAAATGGAAATTCGTTTTACCAATTGATCGTGAGCCCGGCAGCCAGTGAGCAGCGCCAGATCGACGTTGCTCTATCCCTTATTGTTGAACGCCAAACAAGGTAGCAGCAACAATACTCCCGTATCATCAATCCTCATAAACCGTTCACATTTCGCCTATTTCCCCCCATATGCTGTCATAGTAGAGTTTCTCCCATGAAAGACAATCAGAGCCTGAAAACAGTTTAAAGGGGAACAGTTTATACTTTATGATCAATACCTGATACTTACAATTATGAAGCGTTGTATAGGCAAAAATAAAACTCTTTAGGATTTTGGAAAATGTGAAAAGTTAAGGGGGATAGGGTATCGATCGTGTTCAAGTCTGTGCCTAAACTTCTCACGTAATGTTGATAGTTAATAAAATTACTTTTAAGCGAATCCACCATGCAAGGAGGCACTGGGCGGATTGCGTTATAGATTATTGCAAATGGTGTCAGAGTTCTAGTAAATGGCTTGCGTAAAAAAGAATGGTTACAATCCTTCCAATTATCAATTTACTAAATATCGGCATTTTCCTCCTCTCCTGGCAGGCCGTCGCGATTGTCTGGGAATGCAACTTGCCAAGATGGAATCATTTTTGCTCTTCGCCAACCTCTTCCAGCAATTCGATTTCAAGCTTCCTCCTGACCAACCAACCCCCAGCATGCGAGGTCACACCGGGCTGTCTATGCCTCCAGAATCCTACCAGATTTGTGCTATTGAACGCTGAGTTTTGCCGCTTTCATGAGTTTTTTCGCTAAAGACTTCGTTAAACTGCTGTATAAGCGAGTTCGTAATTAGGATTTGCGCATGTGCAGATAAAGGTCATTCGTTCGCAAATTGTAAAACCATTGAGACGAATACTCGTATCGTGCTCATGAAAGTTATGTAATTAGTATACATTTATGTACCGACAGTTCATTTATCTGATACACAGATGGAAGTATTCTTCTCAAGAGGGCAAACAAAAGGTATTCATGAAGCACCATCACTTCGGCAGTGATTATTCTAAAATGCACAAGTGACACGTATCCATAGTGTAACAGATCTGTGGAGATTTGGGGGTCATGCGTTCCGAAGCTATTTACGAACTGGTTTAAGTACATTTTATGAGAGTTTGTCAAAAAGACAAATGGATTCATTCCTATCATGCCACTGCAGTTTATTAAAAAAAGTTTTTGTATATAATGCAATATAATGATTAAGCTTTGTATGATCTCTATCAGTAATATGTTGGCTGATATATAGATTTAGGAATACTAGTTTCAACAGACATATTTTATTTGTAATTATAGGAAGAGTTTGGCGGTATAGACACATCAACTTTTTTCCTAGATGACACTTATGTTATTTCCTGCTATAACTTCTTCTTTTTTGTTTTCTTTCGTTTCAATGATGATCTGAAATTTGACTATTCACCTTAACTTGAATTGATTTTTCTTTTGTAATCACTGGTGAATTGGTGATTATCTCAAACTGCGTGTATTTGCTTCTCCTTTTGCAATTTGCATAATGAAAATGTTTGATACTTTTGCATGTACATTATCCAAAATGGTGGATTTTATTCCAATAAATTAGATTTCATTTGATTTTATTTATTCGTCCAGCAAGTTGGTCTTTTTGTATTGTTTAATTATAATGATGAGGAGACTACAACTACTACTACTACTTCTAGCAGGCGCGTACGCAGGGGGGAGGGGGTTTGGGGTTAACCCCCCCCCCCCCCTTTAACTTTTGTATGTGTATGTTTTTGAGAATCCCCCCCCCCTCTTTTTTTTTTAATACAAAAAAATAAAAAATTAAATTAAATTGTGGTAATTGGTGACCCCAAGAAGCCGACCTTACCCCCCCCCCCCCCCCGCCCCAACGAAACGAAATATCAATCGGCCAAATTTTCAAATTTTGGGAGACACCAACAACAAAAAATGTGCTCTTACCGCGTAAATTGGTTTGCCCCAAAATCCTAAAAATGTTTTAGCCATGGATTGGATTAAAGAGAAAACCAGGCAATAACTTGCTATATGTGTTTGTTTACTATCATTAAGTATCGTTGAATGTGCGAGGGATACGTGAAGAGCTGAAGCGAAAGAAAATATTCCTTTGGCTCCATCGCCAAAAGTGTGACATAGCATTTTTGCAAGAGACTTTTTTGTCAAGAAACATAGAAAATATAGTATCTAAAGAATGGAAAGCACTTTGCTTGTTTGATCATGGTACACGATCACGAGTCAACCATGCATGCGTGTGATTGCGCAGGCGTCGCAAAACAAGTTCCTATTGGTTAGAAGGCCAGGAAACGGTAACACCCACTCTGTAACCATGGATACAATTTGGGAAGGACTCACATGACGGACATGAACTAGCGTTTGAATTCATTTTCATTGTTATATTTCAAGTGCAATAAAGAGCTTTCGTTGTTGAATGCTTAACTAGATGTTGGGTGTTATTAAAACAAAACCAAGTTTTTCTTAATCACTTACTCATATACACTGTAGTACAATTTTTCTAATGTCTTTTATTGGTTATACATAAATGATAAAATATCAGGAAACGTAATCTCAAAGAAAACGTCTTAGATAGTTCTTTTCTTAAAACTATGCTTAATGTCTCTTTGTTATCAAGGTTAAGATTGGGATGATGATTTTCAGCAAACTTGTTGTGATAGGAACATTATAAGGTAGTAAATAAAAGATTTTTTTATGAATAAAGTGAAAATTGTCCGTTCCAATAATATTTTATATCAAATTTCTCCGTCCGAATAGTCGAAGATGTTATTTAACTTGTGTTTAACTTTTTTCTTCTTCATTTGAATATGATATTTCATCTAATAATTTTTCACATTCTACAGAACTGGGACCCGTTTTACAAAGCCCTTTTCTCAATGACAAAGAAAAATAAATTAGTGACAAATCTGCTGATAACCGATCAGAAGCAAGGATTTCACTAGCTTATAAAAAAAAAAACTGTCATTTGTCACTGATGACCAGTTTTGTGAAATGGGACCCTGTACCTGACTATCAAGTTAACAACAAAACTGAAGACAACGAAGCTAGAAATATTTAGTTTAAAAAAATATTATCGACGATATGGCAAATTTAAATATTTTATAGCAGGTTGTTCAGCACAGCAACATAAAGAAATGGTGATTACAATAACCGGTACAAACCATGCATCTGTGTTTTAATTTAGAATACAGATACATGCTATGCGTGGTGACAAATAAATTGTGTCAATTACAAAACATATTTTGCAAGTTCCTGCCTTTTTATCAAACAATTTCGATTTGACACGACTACAATATAACTTCTTGTACATCAGCAATAGTTTACACAATTTTGTTGCCCAAGTCATATCTGGGTTATACAATCGTAATAGTGAGCATAACATATGCCATTTTGTATTGTCTGGGGCCCGTCTTACCAAGAATTGATATTAATCACAACTTATTTGCGATTGATATCAATAGCAAATGTGTACATATAGAAGATAGGAGACTGCAAACTTGCGATTGATTTGGATCAATCGCAACTCTTTATATGATGTACTTTGTGACTGGAAAATAGTAACACATACACACTCTAAATTCAACTGAATTCCAGACAAAAATCTAGTCTTTCTCTTTCTCTACATTTGCAGAGTTGTATTTTGTACAATATTGAGAAATATACATGTGAACATACACAGAATAAAGCTAAGAAGTATACGGATTTTTGGTAGCCGGGCATGACTGAATGCTATACATACAGGCAATATAAGCATAATTCACATGTTGACATACATGCTCAATACTTGGTTTAATTAATTAATGGTGTCTTAATGTAGTATACTTAACGTTACTGGTACTTAAAGCGCTGGGTAAACATTCTCCTAAGTCTACAAACATGAATTAAAAACATAAATCACTCCTACTACATTTTACAATCAATGAGAAAAATAAATAGGGAAAGAGATCGAGAGAGAGATACAGGGATTGACCTTTCAGTTTTACTTCGGATGCATTAATATTTAGTAAGTTTTACATTTCAGAGTTAACTGTGAATGATGAGATCGAGACCCGATGCATTCATGTACAGTTCATCAGTTGGGTTCGCGACGCTGTTAATATAAATCTGACTGTTGTTCATGACTGGATGCGAAGCGTTCAGATGAAAGTCGTCACCAGAAACACTTGGATCGTCATAATCCGATTTCAAAGCAGCAATTCTCTTGGTTTTTCGGCTCATATCGGGTTCGGCGTAGAGCTTGTTAACATTTCTTGTGGGACCTGACCTGTTTGCCGTCGGATCGTGCCTTCCATCCTTTCGTTCCACCGATACTGCAGACGGTCTCTTATTCCGAATGACATTGCATGGATCGGAAGGATCTGTTTGTCCATCAATTGGGCGAGGTGGCGGTTGAAAGGTCATCGGGGATGCGGCTGCGGCACAAGTGTTAGTAGAAATATGTTCGATATCATCAACAGAACAGTACGTACTGTCTTGAAACGATGCGTTTGGGACGACTACACTAGGTGGTGCACTTGCGCCTCCAATCTGAATGCAATCTGCATCACTTGTAGAAATGCACCCGGTTTCGCGCAGGTGCTGTTCTAGAGAAAGATCTTTTCCCTCATTGATGTTTGTAGTATGATCAACGGACCTGTTGTCCACAGCTTCAGAGTTGCCACGCAAGGAGATTATTGGAAGTTCACTCTGAATTTCCTGACAAGAACGCATGGTGCCCACACCAAGTTGCTTCCTGGCTAAGGTGTCAGTCGGTACATCATTCCTTGGCCGAGGCCGTGCAGAAGAAATATTGGTCAGTTCAATAGATTTCGCAGCGTCATCACTAGCTACTGTGCTTGAAATCATTCCAACATTACGTGTTGGCTTTACGCAACGCCGATAAAAACCGCGAATGATAATGAAGCACATAAAACTAGTCAACAAAAATGCTATTGTTGATAGTACGGTCGAAGAAACGATAACAGCTAGCATCAGATTAGTTAGATTTGTCTCTTCCGAATTCTTCGATTCAGAAGTATTTCTTATAACACTGACGTGGATAGTTTGACATGAGCTGTCATCTGTGGAGTTGCTTGACGAATTTATGTCTGAAACTGATGTTGTATTAAAACTCCATTTTGCCACATCTAAACTTCTAATGATATAGAGTAGCGTTGCGTTTGATTCATGTTTCTCTTCACCGCAGAAAAAAACGATACGATCGTAGCCAGTGAATATTTCTTTCGTGATGGGTTTAAAATCATCATCAATTAATGTGTACCACTTGTTTGCAGTACAACATGTTAGGTTCTCAGTTTTGACATTTTGAATCGTGTATCGTTCTACAGGCGGGAACTTACAAACTTTTTGCTCATTTCGTTCGGGATTCGAAATGACACATCTGTCTGGCAAGGTTCTTCCATCAAACATGTCTCGGGGATCAACGTAAACACTGAAATTGTTGGTGAGATTTAATCGACCGTCGATGTTCATGTTTATAGTTTCATGGGAATAAAGCAGATTGTCTCCCGCATTTACAAGATGTGCTTGATCTCTTTCGATCACCTGCACCCATTGGCAAGTCATCTGTAATTTGTTCCTTTTCTTGTCGAATAAAGTCAAACAAGTGGGCTCAATATTAGATTCAACAGTCAAATTCAGAATCAAAACTGTACAGGGGATCTGTGCACCATTATGTATTGAGATGACATGTTTTCCCATATCATCACTTTCAACGAAAGAAATGATCAGACTGAGCGTGCCGTTGGTATCCTCAATCAAATCATAACGTGTGACATCAAAAGAAACGTTTCCTCCAGTGAGCTCCAGGGTATCATTGTGTCGCTTTTCCCATGTTAACTCTCCCTTGGTCCACACCAGTGATTGAGTACTTTGTATTGGGGTTTCGAGAGTAGGCAGCATCAGCGAAAAATTTCGTCCACTCACTACGTAAAATGATTTTCCCTGGTCCACTAGTCCACCACAACCTAATCCATAATCCTCATCACAAAACGAGGATTGGTAAAAAGATTGCAAAAGCAGAAATAAATATAACGCATTTTTGAAGCCGCGGAAGCCTTTCCGAGACATCGTAACGAATTTGTTGTAAACGCTTTAATCGAAAAACTCTGATGTTTAATTTAAAGCAGGTAGCAGGCTTCAACTCAACAGAGAGTACAAGTATAGAAGGTATACTGAAATCATGGTGATATCTGCTACAATGAAATGAATTCAGCTAGATCAAAAATGGTGTCGTGTCGAAACGTTTCCTCAATAGCTCTATCTATTCCATCTAAGATCTTTATGAAAAGTGAAGAAGTGAGAGTGATAATTACAACATTTTAATTGACTGTAGCAACGCGATCATTGGAATTAATGATGCAACCCAGTAGATTTAATCGCATTTTGTCATTGTTGAGGCAGGGTATTAATGTCTCTTCCTTTAATTATGGTCATGAAATGTCTCGAGTCTTTCCTACAATTGCATCTCACTGATATAACCACGTATCAATAAAACCCTTTTCAAAAGTACGGACTCGGTTTCCTCGAGTGTTCTGTCTGAATTAATACAGTATATTCTTCCCTGAAAAGAGAACCATTTAAACAGAAACAAAGAAGATGAATTGATATTCAAATGGTACTTGTTATTAGAACTCTCCCATGCTGAAACCAAAACTTCAGTTATCCAAAGTTGATTATTGATTGAAAGTGATTATACAGCCGTGGTTTATTACGCGTTATTGCTTTTCAGTTTTGGTCGATTGAAAAGAAAACCTTTAAACCATATTTTTATTGCATGGCCTGGCACAATCATAAGGAAACATAATCAAATTAAAACACATTTCTTCATATTCAGCTGGTTTAGCATATGCCCAATTTCTTACCAAATTTCCGGAATCATTTTCCCAATTCTGTAAAGATAACTTTTCAGTAAGAATGAGCGGGAAACAAATTTCAATCCAATCCAGGTATTTATAAAGCGCCTATATCTAGTTGCCTAATCAAAGGCGCTGGTGAGACTGAAAAACTACCAAAAATGACTGTTTAGGATTCTAAATGGGAAAGACAAAAAGCAGTGACTAATTGTAAGCAATCTGAAATAGGTATATCTTTAGCTGAGTTCTGAAAATTGCTACCACTATTGTACCAAAACTTGATCTTCTGTGCTGCAACATTCAAACACAACCCGCAGAATTTGGTCTCGTACGGGAAGGAACATACACGTGTTATTAACAGATCTTTTGCTTTGAGAAATAAGAGACATGCTCGATCGGCACAACTTGTTCATCATGTACGTTTTCAAGAGGAACGTAAATGCTGAATTTGTTGGTTAAATTAAAATCGCCATCAATATTCATAGCCAGAGTCTCATACTCATATACACAGAGGCGGTGAGGAGGGGGGGGAGAGCACATTGCCCCCTCCACGTTTTCAAGTACCTCTAAAGTGCCCCTTTATACATAGGAAAGATACTTCAGATAAGTGCCCCTTTTTGTTTATAATACTAAAAGGTGCCCGTTCCACATTCTTATAAGTGCCTCTTACGACCTCTGACAAGTGCCCCCTTCACCGATGATAATTGCCCCTCTTCATATCTGAGAGTTGCCCATTTTAATTTAATAAGTGCCCTTTTCTTTTGTAATAAGTGCCCCTTCCACTTCCCCCTTCTGAAAATGGAAAAGAAAAAGATCAAAGGAGATAAGAGAAAGCATAATGGTGCTTTCCTAAATTCTAGATTCTGTATCTAAATTTTGGCTGCAGTGTATACTGCAAAAATCTACGGTAAATAAACAAATACAACAGAAATTCACAAAAACAACATCCATTTTTATTTACATACCATGTGATCTATAACAGATCATCAATTTATTATGAATTCCAAAAATACAGCAAGAAAAAAAAAGGTTGAAATATCCAGTTCAGTTTTATACAAAATACGATTGGAAATTGAGAAAATGTTATTCAAAAATATCATAATTTATATTCAGACTTTGTCAATATTGCTGCTTCAGACTACTACCTTATTAAAAATGCTCACAAAAGTTGCATATATAAGCTTAAACATAAATACTAAAACGTCATTAACATGCTTACATTAGTAGAAATTTCTGGTCATTGATTAAAGAACATCACATTTTTTAATATATATGCATAACTATATGTATGATCAGTCTCGAGAAAATTTGAGACATTGTTTATTTCATGAGAACAAGAAAAGCCAGTGACAAAATATCTTTGAAAATTTGGGGTGGTATTCTGCAAACTGTTTCCTTCTATGTTGGTTAACGCTTTGAATGTCACACAAATAACCACCCAGGATATTCAGTAGTCGGCAGGTATGAAGAGACACCCCGCAAACTATGTATTTTAAAAAGACGTCTGTGCAAGCATCAGTAATCAGTGTATATTCAGCACCATTTCAGTTTGTTATGACATTTCACATCACTTAAACAGACAGATTATGGCTCAGAAGATTCTTTTACACTGCTAAAATTTGACCTGATTTTTGCTGCTATATCGGGAAATAACCAACCAGATTTTAATATAAATATTCATCACCATGGAAACCGATGTGGGTGAGAAGGTCAACCATTTTCAATAGTCGGTTGGATCAAGAAACTTTTGAAAACTTGTTGGATTCCCTGAAAATTTGCAGCATTGAGGCAAAAAAAAGAGCATACAGCAAAGTTACACCATTTGTCAACTGACCGTGATACTGCTGTTACGTTTTATGGAACAAGAACCCACAGAAATGGATATTACATATCTAAAATGTATTGAATGGGTAGGAGGTATTGTGAACTGGTTTCTTTTCCTCAGAGCATTTTTAGTTTGTTTCCATTTGGAAAAAGCACCATGGTGTCGAAACATTGAGCTGATTAATGAAGCTTTGTTAGTCTCAATTAAAAGAAATTTGTTAATGTGGTCCTGAAGGAATTTTATGGCTTTTCAATTTTCATTACTTTTACAAAACACATTTTCAACAGGTAAGGTATGATAAGTAATAAATAATGCATATTTTTTAGACTAAGTTCTTCTTAATATACAGTTGGTTATTCAAAGAGAATAAAGATTCATATGGTATGAATCCGACATAAAATGTTAGATCCTGAGGTTAAGACTAGTTGTCACACGGTATTGGTCGCTTATATTATTAGATAGAAGTCAAAGGTCAAAACGTTACGCATGTTTCGTCAAATAAAAATATACTAGCTACATATATTGTTGTGATGCAGAGAAGCAGCATTAACAAATTTTTACTGTTTTTATTTTCTAATTTTTTTTTAACGTTTTGTTTTTAGTTGTTAATACAAAAATTACTGAAACTTATCATACAGTTTCGGCAATTGTCATGGATATATCAATCGACTTGTTAAAAATTTAAAAACAATACAGTTTGTCATATTATAACTATACTGAGAGCATACACATATTAGAATAGTAATTAGAAAAGTTTACTTTGTTGTTTAAGAATGACCAATTATTTGAAGAATTAAAATATGGACATTATCAGGGTACAATGGTTTTCCTGCACAAACCATCTCTTATCAAAAAAGACTTTAAATGTATATTCACAACTTTGTCAGAGCTAAACGAAATTTAATTTTTTTTTATCTTGCTCCATCTGTTTACCGGTACGTAAAAGTGTGCAGGCCTTATCCCCTGAAAATATACCATGTATGATGCAATCTAATCTCTTCATATTTTAAAGAAAAGAAAAAAGAAATATAAAAACAGAGCAGATCGGCTCCACATACCGTAGTCTTTTCAGCCTCACCAGTGCCTTAGACAGCACATATAAATTACAGACAAAAAACAAGCAACTCGACAAAGAACAACCCCAAAACAACAGAGGACTGTATTAAAAATACACACACACATAAATAACCGTTATTTTACACAGCGTAAAATACACCTCTGTCAAACTACAACAGAATCATAGATAGACAAAAATCCAATACTAGCATCGATAATCATCACGGATATGAAAAAAATACTTCTACCGTTCTTTTTTTCAGAAAGAACAGTTCTTGCTTTGTTTAATACATTGTATTCGTATTGAGAATAAATAGACAGCGATTTAATTCTACACAAAGGCGGCATGGTGCCAATACACTTTGAGGAGAATTTGTTATACAGCATATACATGTACACATCTGAAAATCACTGAAATCATCCCTCTTCTAATATAACAGATAAGATGATGATGGAATTATATGAAATACCTGAATCATATGAAATAGATAAGACAGGGGTCCTACTGAATACATAGATTCTACATGCATAGGATACACGACGCACATCTGTCGAAAATACCTCGATTTCTTCTGTACAGATATACATGAACAATACTTGCAGAGATGTTAGTTTCTACTACTTTCTACTCATTATAGTTTAAAACACGAGATTGGAAGTAAATTATGTCAAGATTTGCATAATTGGTATGCTATCTAGAAATATAGTAGCTTTGCATAGACAGAATTAACTTTTCCTTAATGATTATTACAGGAAACATAGGGTTGTAGTGGAAGATGGTGCTACAAAGAAATCAATCTCTCTATCTCTCTCTTTCTCTTATTCATTCTCTCTCTCTCTTTCTCTCTCTCACATCAAATTGTACATTTTCTACTAACATTCAATACTCACTCATATACACCAAAACAAAATTTCACGGCATACATTTTCTCATCCACTCTCCCTTGCATTACATAGTATCGGGTCATTTAAATCTAAATTATCAACAAAACTATAAACAAAAGAGGAAATACATGTACCATTAGTTAAAGTCGTTAAAATCTTGACACAACATATTTTTCACATTTACGCTGCATGTATCGACACATTACCTACATGAATATATATATATTTATACTTGATGAGGATTCTAAACTTGTGCAATTACTGTATGTCTCCATTAGCAAACTCAATCCATGATTCCAGTTTCATTGATACACCATCAACAACATTTATAACTTAAAAGCGAATCGACCTCATGCACAACCTATTCAATCTTTTTCTACGAGTTAAAAGAGTACCATGCGCGCATATCTCAAATCAATCAATCTTTTTTTGAGGTTTGCAGCGAGCGAGTGACCCAATACTTTTTTTCTTATGGTTGCTATTCAGAAAACCTCATACAATGTACAATAAATAATGCTGGGAGATTGATAAAAATCACATGGTGTAAGCCAGGATGAAAATAGAATCATTTGCAAAACGGCGAGGATGAGCAGAGGAATAGAGAGCATGGGTTGTTTGGTCACGGGAGGCGTATTGATATCTCTCTTGCTACAGAAAATGATGGTCGATGCCGATTCCAAGCATACTTCATCACAGTGCGCAAATTTTTCTTAGACTTTGATGAAAAGTGGATATACACTGTATCCATTTATTTTCAATATTAAAATTGAGCGAGCACCTTGGAACATCTTAAAGTCACAAACCTTAAGAAATAAGAAATAAATATGCCATCATCGTTTTTTTTGTAAGTATACATCTCACCATGTGAAAGTGTGAAAGGATTTAAGCTGTACATACACATCTCTGATACTGTCGACATGGCTCAAACATTTCCTTCAAATAACTTAACTAAAAGTATCAACGTTCTAAAAAACACTCTGGAAAAAAAAAAACTTTCTCCATTTTTTTAGATGAGATGCATGATCTAGCTGTGGTTGCTACTGTTGAAAGCTCCAAAATCGATTCTCCTTAAAGTATGGTCTGATGAGAAGAGTCAAATGCTGCCCTCTTGTGACCAAATATGTAAATGGTGACCTGAGATGACCTCCTGGATCATGAATATTCATTCATCTGATTGAAGACGTCTCCTGCTCTATCCTCGCCTCCCGTTCGTTAAGAGCTGGCATCGTCCAGACAATCAACAAAAGCCTTGTTGGGTGTGACAATGCTGCTGCTGCATGATTGGATTTTTAGTTTTTTTATTTCCAGAGTCTGTATTTCAGAAGTGTTTTTTGTTAGAATCCGTTGGGTCCTATGTCACCTCTGAGCGGCGTTGACGGTGTGGGAAAAGCATACAAACCACCTAGTTTAGAATTAGAAAGAAAATCAATACATTAGATGACTTGAAAGAAAAAGAACAACAAAATTAGATTCTTTTTTTCATTTTCATTTATTACATAATCCAAAACATGGGATGCCATTTGTTTGGGAACAATCTAATCCTAAAATTTACAGTACTGACATTTGTAATACTGAAGAAAATGATGCTTGTTTTAGGTCTTTATCTGATCCAATGGGAATAGTTACAATAATTTTTTTTTTTTTTAAACAGAGCCTTCCAGGTGGTCCAGGCTTTGAGAAGCCCCTGCTATAGATGATACAAAACAATTTAAAATCACCTGTTATTTTTAACAGAATTATCTGAATACAGAGTAATGAAATCTCATAGAGGTGAAGAGAAATGACTTACCATGTTCACATTGAGCACCAATAAAGTTATTTATACATCTACAAGATCCCGTCCTGGGGTCACAGGTAGCACCGTTTGAACAGTCACAGTTGAAAGCACAGTTTGGACCAAACTTGCCTGGTGCGCACTCTGTGTGAACAAGGCCATACAGAATACATTGAAAACTTGACATCAACAATGGGCAGTGTTTATACATACACATATGTAAATTGACAAACTTTTGAACAGTCTCGTTGAGAGAGCAGTTTGGACCAAACTTGCCTGGTGTGCACTCAGTATGAACAAAGCCATACAGAATACATAGAAAACTTTACATCAACAATGGGCAGTGTTCATACATACATAAGTAAACCAGCAAACTTTTTTAAAACCATTTGTGTTACAATCATTATACAAGTATTTTTGAATTTCCATTTCATAAACAAATTTGTATGCACAGCTCATATATTCCAATAAACAGAAATCCAAGGATATTAGAATTTGTCATATCCAATAATAGCTACATCTATACTGCACACATATTTATTCAAGGGGAAGTTCGAGGCACTTACAAAATTCTATTATTACCCAGGATTTATGGCCCAGCTGCCAAAAGGTGCTAAAAGCATTGAAGGAACTAATTCCTACCAGGTAACCATTTACTACACCTGGTTGGAGAGTGGAATATGTAGAGAACAAGAAAATCTAAAAATATATCACAGCAGAATCGTTATTTCTTTGACTTTGACCACATAAAGTATTTCATAGCCCCATGCTATTCCAATAACCTTACTCACTCCCTCTGAAGCCTGACCCTTTGTACATACCTTCAGTGCAGGTGTCCCCTGTATTTCCAGGGGGGCAATCACAGGTACCTGCGACTGCGTTGCACTGTGTTCTGTTAGAGCAGGCACAGACATGAATGCAGTTTGGACCGTGGAACCCAGGTTGGCAGGCTAGTGAAAGAAGAAAAGAAAAACATGGATAATAATATTTGCAGGTATATTTATCATCCTTGTCTTCTTTACTTTTTCTTTCCTTCTTCTTTTCTTCCTCTCCTTGTCTTCTTCTTCTTGTCTATATACTTCTCTTTTACATTTGCATGTATAGTATAACTTGTTTTGCAATCATTCCCATCACCCTTGAGACACATACTCTAGACATATTTATGTTTGGCAATTACTAAATACTACAGGTATGTTGTGAAGGATACAGAGATATTTAAATGGATTCCATTTTTGTTGTTTCATAAGATATACTGAACTCCTTTTATCAAGTTATATGTGCTATTTCAGATATTTGATCATTACTTAATGTCTAATACACAACATGTGATATACCTGCGACTTGCATTATAAAATGTGGTGATTTGTGATTTAGAAAAGAAAGATTCGCTACTAACATTGAAAAGACTAGACAATTTACTTTTTAAAAAGTCTGCACAATATTTCATCCCTCAGAGAGTTTAATCAAAGTGTACCAATCACCTAAACATGTTTTGCTCTTATCTTATAATAATAATAATAATAAAGACATTTATAACGCGCAACATATCCACCCAGAGGGTGCTCAAGGTGCTTACAATGAGCTACATAATATATATACTTAGATACAATATTGCTTACATTACATTATACATTATACATTATCTTGTGGGTTCCATATTACTGTAAGCTCCAAATATTACTTTTAATAAAGAGTTATTTTTTCTTCAGGTGATTGGTTCACTTTAAAAAAAAGTGCGATATTACAGACAGTGCTGCCATGTCTACTTACTCTGCTTGCATTCCGGTCCAGTTCTACCTGCTGGACACCTACATTGACCGGTCACTGTGTCACACGTAGCGTCTTTATGACAATCACAGATACGGCCGCAATAGGAACCGTAGGTACCCGCTGGGCATGCTGTACAAAACACAAATGGAAAATGTAGACAAATTAATGGTTTTCAGAAAAAAATATAAAGTTGAAATGTGGATTTTCAAGGCTTAAATTTTGGATTACTCTTGCTTAACAGCACCTAGAGGGTCTTAAATATGATGTCTATTAATGAAGCATGTATATATATATATATATGAAAACTAAATAAAATTTCAAGTGAAACCTGTTATCCTCATGTTTCAGCAACAAAAAAGATATGTAGCCATAGGGGGAAATATAGTGTTGTAAATATTCCTCCACTTGAAACTGACTCACTGTCTTTTAAGAAATATGAACAATGGCTAACAACAATAATGTCATTTTTGTATCCTCCAACACTGCACAATAATCCATGCATGCTTGAGTCAGGGGGTATACGTTCTTTAAAGCCCCACTGCACTACTTGTAGCTACTTGCGCCCTCTATATAGCAAACGATGCCTAATTCGGTGATTGGTCCCCCATGGTCCCTTTTTCTTATGTTAATTGAAAGCTGATTTGATGAGATAACCACCTGTCAGTGAACATGCAGGCAGGTCTAATCCCTCCTGGCCAAACTAGTGCAGAGGGGCTTTAAGAAACATGAATGATGGTTAACAACAATAAAAAGTCATGTGTATATCTTCCAAAACTGAATAATAATCCATGCACGCTTGACTCAGGGGTATGTACCTTCCTTAAAAAGAGAAAAAACAAAGTTTGATGATCTTACAAAATTGACAGTTTTGTCCGTAGAAACCGGGAGTACACGAGCAGCATCCGGACATCCTATCACACTCAGCCCCGTTTTCACAAGTACATTCCTGTTCGCAGTTCATACCGTACGTTCCCCACGGACACTCTGTAAAAATAGGAAAAATGTGATATTAGTTACGATTGATTAATATCATTACAAAGACCGGCACTGTAATGTCTGTGAGTAGATGCCAGGAATATGCTTTTGTGTTGTTGTTATGATGATTATCCAGCTTTTGGGGTCCTATTTTTACAGTTCATACTACAATTCCCTATGGGCACTCTGTACAATTTGTTTAAAAATTACATTATTAATCTTTATGAATGTCTTCAAAACACTTTTGATTCTGTGGGTGACTACTTTAAGAAAAGGTGTTGGCTATACATACCTTCATCACAAATCTCCCCTGTATATCCAAGCCCACATTGGCACTCTCCAGTGATAACATCTAGCACTCCACCAAACTGGCAATCCTTGACCTGCGAACAGTCTGGGCCGTAGGTTCCCAATGCACACTCTGAAAGCAAGAGAATAAAAAGTTTGATATACAAATAATACACATCAGTGAAGGCATTAGTAAGAATTACCCACACAAGGTACGCTTGGACTGTTTGGAAGGTACCGAGTGTGGGTAATTTTACTAATGCCCGAACAAAATGATGTGTATTAATTGTTTTATAAGATCATGTTTTATTTGTTTTATAAAATGATGTTTTATAACATGATTTTACTAATGACCGGTCATTAGAATGGGATAATGACCAGTCATTATCCAAATTACGCGTTAGGCAAAATAAATGCCTGGTCACGTGTACGCTTTCAACCAATCATTTGATTAGGATCCACGTCATCATCTTATAAAAAAGATTATATTTACATGTATACATCATTGAAAATAATTTGTTTACTACTTTCATAGAAACATGCAAAGTAAAAGAATACAATAAAAGTATTTCTTACAAAATACGGATAAGACAATATAATGGAAATACACTAAAGGAAATTACAAGGTGATTGGATCATCCCAAAGTTACAGAAACTTACAGGTACATGATCCTTCACAAAATGATAAGACAAAATCAATAATTGCGTTGTTCAAAGCGCTGTGTTAATACATATATATGGTATTGAAAACCCATCCTCTTTTTTATCCTCCCTAAATACCCTGCATCCTAACAATTGAAAAACAACCTATGCAATACAAAAAGTGCACTGTACTCATTTTTGTACCCCTCTAAGATTGAACTCTGACCTATCATGCTTATACTGGGGTATTGGATGATCCAAGATTGTTTTTACTTCCACTTTGTAAGTTAATGTTACGTGCACCCTATGCTAATTAAGACACACTTTGTCATAAAGATCTGCAAAAACTTCAAGGTTGAAGGAAGCCAACGTAACAACTAAAAGAAAAAGATGATGCATGTACATCTGTTCAATAGCTGAATCATGCATACTCACTTGTAGCACAGAAGGTGCCGGTGTATCCGGGGGAGCATTCGCACACCCCTGATGCGTGGTGGCAGTCACCTCCGTTCTGACAGAGGCATTTATGCTGGCAGTCCTGGCCATACAGTCCGTCGGGGCAAGCTGAAAGATAAAACCAATCAAAATAGGATGTTACATGAATGTTTATACTCTCGTTATGCATATGAAGTACCAAATGAACAGGGAGCTTGAATACATGATGAACATGAAGAATTGTTCATAACATACCTAGGAAGAAGAGTGCAAACAAACACTAATTTTGGTCAGATTTGATTGAAACATATGAAGTAAGAAATGTGTCTCTATCAAGTGCATCCTCGTACTTACAAAATTCTGTACAAGTGTTCTTACTGTAAATTTTCATCATTATCTGTATCTTTTATTTAAAATGTCAATCATAAAGTAGATTACGTCTACAATCCACAATGGGGGTGAGAAATAATGTGTTGTAAACCATCATCACGAACATCATCACTTGTACTTTTGCGTATATCCACGTCTACACACAATGAATGGGTAAGGGAAAGACAATTCAATATAGATAAACCACTTCAGTATTATAGGAAGTTGGGGGAGGGGGAGAAGGGGTGGTATCTTACCTCTCTCACAGAGTGCACCGATAAAACCTGACTGGCACAGACATGTTCCATCATCCATATGGCAAGATCCTCCATTCAGACAGCTGCAATGGTGCTGGCAGTCGGGTCCGTAACGACCGTGCTTGCAATCTATAAAGTGGGGATCATACAAAATATCATTTCAGAATATTAGCATCATCTTATATATCATGCATACTCTGTTGTTGACTGCTACATCTTTTGAATGCTGACAGTTTTATTGTGATGTCAGTGTGTTCTGATTTTCATATCAAGCTTGACATGTTACAGTTCATTCTGCTTTCATATATCACTCTTTAAAATAATGTTATTATTTCTGAACATTGAGAACACATTTGTGTGTTTCCTAAGATGTAACAGAAAAATTTGATAAGACGAAATGTACATGCAAAACAACATCTGATCATTACAAAATTCTTTACAAATGAAAATCTTGTATCACTATGAGTGGATGTACTCTTCACAAAATAGGGGATGTAGATATAAAGGATTCCTTTTCTTACGACTTTCTCTGGCATACAGAGATAAAATAAATTGTTCGAACCTGCTTTGTCATCAGCTCAACCATCAGTGTTGTTCTTTGTTTGATAGTTTTACTTGACTGCTAAGAAAGTATGACTGCTTTAAGTAAGCAACCAGGGGACTGACGGCTTTAAGTCCTCTCTGAGGGACTTGGTAATGAGGATTAATGCCATACCAAAAGGCACTAGCACGCTCCACTTGGGTTTATACCTGTGCCCTCTTGGTTACGAGACTACTGCTCTACCACTGCATGGGCCATTGCAGTGATGGAAACATAATCACTCACCCTTTTCACAGTTGTGTCCTCTGAAGCCCGGCTTACACTGGCAGTCCCCGGTCACTGAATTGCAGATCGTGTTGCGTCCGCAGGTACAGGCCTCAGCACAATCCTGGCCCCATGTTCCGGGTGGACAAGCTGTGAAAATAAACCCCAAAGCAGAGTAGAATGATGAGCATTAATACCTCTACTATTTCTATTTTCTACTAATATTTCTACTATTTCTACTTCTAGAAAATGATTAGACACATAGTCTTACATTTTCTTTATCCCTACAGTCATTTATTTAACTGGTTTGAAATTTCATTTAATGTTTTTTTTTGCCATGTTGTAAATACCGGTAAGTAATTATGGTACATGTATAATCCTGTTTTAGTACGCCCCCCCCAAAAAAAAAAAAAAAAAAAAAAAAAAAAAAATTCCATGTTTTATTTACTGTGTAGCATTATTACTGTGAATATAGAGTACTTGCTTGTGTCTTGCAAATTTTCTGTCATGTAATATCCTCATGCCTTCATATACTTCTGTTTATTCTCCCACTCTCTCATCGACTCGCTTTTACATTCAAATTAGTCTTGGTGCCCCCCCCCCCCCCAATCTCTCTTCCTCTCTCTATTTGTCTTTTTTCTTCCTCTTTGTACTAGGACATGGATTCATTCAGACATACAGACCTGCCAACCTTCTTAAACAAAAGTTAGGAATCTATCAAAGCAACATTAGAAATACAGTCTGTTTTGTATACTTTTCACAAAAAATATTTCAGATAAGAGAGGAATCTAGGGTTCAAAACAATAGCTTGAAGACCAGAAAATAGGAATGGTTGGCAGCTATGTATGATTGGTTGATTCAAATTTATTCCATTTCACATATCAATTGTTTGCACAATAAAGTACATAGTTGACAAAGTAAGTTCAAAATTATGAAATGAAACAGGAACCTACTGAAAAGCATAGCTTGTTTTTGTAGGTTCCCAAGAAAAAATATAATATGAACATTACTTTCATAAATCATTTTAAAGTGTCTTAGCATATACTCACGTGAGTTGCATTCATATCCAGCAAAGCCCGGAGGACACCTGCAAGCTCCGGTGATGTGATCACAAGGGTTCTCAGCTCCACAGCCGCAGGTCTCTGAGCACTGGCTGCCGTAGGTACCAGGGATGCAAGCTGGATGGAGGATACAAGAGTGGTAACAGATTATAAGAGGGGTAGCAGATTATAAGAGGGGTAGCGGATTATAAGAGGGGTATCGGATTGGAAGATAAGTTACACATGTCCTTATAGTTCAGTATCGATGGTAGGACTTTCTTTTCAAAAATACTTTCCAATGTTAAAGAGAGAAAGTATGTTGAGCATACAGTGTGTATCTCACTCTTCTTATGTTACTCTATCCACTTTTCCTTCTTACTCTTTCTTACAGCGCATAGAGACATATTGTGATATGCGCTATACAAGTACAGTATATCATTATTATTAGGAATGAGTTGATCTTGATTCCTTTCTATTTCTACAATTCATTGATAATGATGCAATGTATATGTTCACTAATGTACATCATTTAATAATTGCAACATTATTATTGTACCGATGTTGGTAATGCACTGCTTTGTCTTGTTTAAGTTTTATTATACATTGAATTAAGTTCCAGCAAGTTTAGAAACACCATGAAATTGTACTACACATCTCCAGTAGATATAGAAGAAGTGTAAAGAAAACACCTTGTTTCAACATTCAGATCTTTATTCTTTTATACTAATTCCAAACCCCTTTCTAGCTTTTACATCCAATATTTATGAATATTTTCAGTATTAAATCCTCAGAATGGAAGCAGATATCTTCTAGGAGAGCTATCTTATGAAGATAGCAAAATAGTGACAAAATTTCAAACTCTATCCTAACTTGGAATTTTAAACTTGGGTCATTAGTAAAATGTTTCTTTGTTCCAAACCTTAATTTAAGAATATTAACCAGTCTATTTTAAGGATTTGTCAAGTGACCAATTCTCATGTAAGTGTATACCCAGTTTGTGCAGATAGCCTCTCTCTTCAGCCATTAGTATAGTAACATTCACTAAGTCTATCTTAAAGCTAATCAATGGTAATTATTTTTTTGTAACAAGAAGAGTGGAGATCATTTTCATTCGCAATACTCATGTTTTCAACATAGCCATCCACGTCACCCGTTAGAATTGTTACATTTACCAGTCTACATGTATCTTGGAGTTAATCACTAGAACATGGGATATATACATGTAAAAAGGAAGAGTGGTGACCACTTCTTATGTATAATACTCATGTTTTGGACATAGCCTTCCTCAATAGCCATTGTAATGGTACATGTAACATTTACCAGTCTATCTCTACAGTACTGGAAAACATAGATGTACCAAGAGAGTGGTGACCATATCTCTTTTTGTAATACTCACGTTTTTCACATAGCCTTCCTCTCCAGCCATTAGTGCATGTACATGCACCAGTCTGGGCATCACACTGACCTCCATTTTGACACTGACATCTCTCTTCACAGTTGACACCATGGTAACCAGAGAAGCAAGCTGTTAAAACCAAAACAAACAATGAAACAAATAATCAGAGAAGAGAAGACCTGTTTATGTTTTATTTCATCTTGTTTTGAGTCTGAAACAGGAATGATCCTTTGTGAAACCATTGAATAAAATGGAGAGTACAAAACCCCAATAACCTGACCCCTACAACCTGAGCCCCCTATTTTGATCTGTGCACCCTGACCCCTACACGCTGACCTCTGCATCTTGACCTTTACAGTCTGAACCCTACACCATGACCCCTACACCCTGTCCACTGACCCCTACCCCATGACCCACTGACCCCTATACCTACTAATTACCCAGTTCACAGTTGTCTCTGTGCCATCGATGAACACATGCTCCCTTGACTTTATCACATTCTTTTGTTTGAACATCCTGACCTCTATACTTTGACACCTATACCATGACCCTTGACCCCTACATGACCTCTCTACCAAGAAACTTACCTAGTTCACAGACATCTCCGTGCCATCCTGGTGCACATGAACATGTTCCATTGACTTTATCACAGTTTCCTCCATTCTGACAAGAACACGACTGCAGACATCCGATGCCAAAGTGTCCTGGTGCACAAGCTGCAAACAAATATAAATAGATAAACATGATAAACCAAGGTACAATTAAACCTAGCTTACTGATACCCTCTCTTTAAAGAGAGTTGTTACCTGTATTCTCTCTCTCTCTCTTCCTCTCTGCCATATCAAAAGAGATATTTGTATTCTCAACGACCCTAAGAACTTCAACAATTCCCCTCCTCTAAAAGGATATCTACTAAAGTTGATATTTACATTATATGACATGATATCACATGCAGTGGATTTTGAATGAGGAAGGTGTGCATTATAGGACTACGTCTTATATTAGAGCCTGTGAAGACAGTTAACTACAGGTAACTATATCACCATCCCAGAAGAAAATAGTTTGCAACAAAGAAATAGGTAACTAGGCAAATAATTCTCAACAACGTAGTACCAGTAAATTATTATTATAACAGATATAAGTCTCTACATGCATAACCTGCTTTAGTGACCACTTGTCTACAAAGGCCACATTTGTTGTTTCCCTTGAAAATGGTTTCTCATTGAATCATGTACTAAAGGAACCTGCCTACAAAGACCACCTGTCTACAAAGAGAACTTTTTGTGTTTCCCTTGGGTGGTCGCTATAGACAGATTTGACTGTATTAGGTAACTAGGCAGTAAGTCTCATCAATAGAAAAATAATTGATAACTGAAACATGCATAACCATTTGTTTAAATTTATTTTTTAGGTGGAGTACTAGATGGACTGATTACTTACGTTGCTGGCAGGCACGTCCCACCCATCCGGCCGCACAGGCGCACATCCCAGTCACATGATCACAGAGTCCGTTCTGGCAGATGCAACGCTGCTGGCAGTTGATACCATAGCGACCGGGCTGGCATTCTGTACAGGGAAACAAGAATCAAGAATGTCATAGATTTTAAAAAAGAAAGAAGATACTAACGATGAGATATACAAGAAAAAAATAAAACAATCAAAGTGTGGGGATAGACTTTTTTTTTATTCCGAAGTCCGTGAACATGAAATTTTATTGGAAAAAAGTATTAATTTAATTTAATTTAATCCAATTTCTTGGATGTCAGAGGGCGAGAGAGATGGCAAATAACACAATGAAGAAAAAGAGGAGAGAGATGGAGGGGGAGAGGGGGATAGAAGAGAGATGGAAAGGAAAGAGAAAGAGAAAGACAGAGGGTAAAATGACAGCGAGACAGAGAGATTAAGAAGGGATAGAGAGACAGACAGACAGACAGAAAGAGAAATAGAGGAAGAAATATAGAGAGACAGAGAGACACAGAGAAACAGAATAAAGAGAAATAGAGGGAAGGAATATAAAGAGAGAGCGAGAGAGAGAGAAAGAAAGAGGAAGAGGAAGAGAAAGAGAGGGGGAAGGGCCAGACAAAAACAGTAAAACAAGAAAGAAGAGAGAGAAAGGTTGAGAAAGGTAGGTTGAATAAATGAATGACGAAAGCAAGGCGAAATACAATGAACGAGGAAACAAAGAGAGTGAATTGAGTGAACCACAAGGAGAACTTGAATGGAATAGTTGCAAACTTACGTTGATGGCACCTGACTCCGATCCAACCGCTGGGGCAGATACACCTTCCACTGACGTGATCGCATTCAGCATCGTTAGCACAGTTACATGTACCTCGGCAGTCTTCACCAAAATGACCTTCAGGACATTCTGTATATCGATAAGAATTGATTAGAATTGATTAAACAATGATTTAGGCAATCATTGTGGTCTTGATTCAATCACTGGGATGGATACATCTTTCTCAGAGTCTTTCAAAACTTGCAGGACATATCGTACATAAATTTACAACGAGAACATATATACACATGATCTTACGCTATTTTACCCTACCAGAAAACAGTTTAACCTCTTTTCAAGCAAAACATTTACTGCAGCAACTTAAGTATTTTCTGACATGTTTACAACGATATGATTGAAATTGTTGTATCAAATTGGATCAACTAAAAAGAAATCTATTTCATCTAGGAGGGAAAAAAATGATAATGCTTCAAAGGGTATTTCATCATAATAACTTATGAAATCATTGGAATAAAGACAGAATAATCATTATTTAGGCAATAGAATGGAAATTAACATCTTATGAAAGTTGCATTTTATCCCACTGGTCACTTTATCAATGTCTTAATGCTTTGAAGCCAGGTTATTCAGGCTCAGTCTTAATTATAAGATGATGACGTGGATCCTAATGAAATGATTGGTTGAGATCGTACACATGACCAGGCATTTATTTTGCCTAACACGTAATTTTGATAACGACCGGTCATTATCAAATGCTAATGACTACCAGACCTACCGTCTCTACATCCTTGTCCTGTGTATCCAGCAGGGCAGTTACAATGTCCGTTGGTAGCGTTACAATGAGCTCCGTTACCACAGCTACAGCGATGACGACAGTCTAGACCATAGTAACCATCAGGGCAGGCTAAAAGGGAGAAACATACGAATGTTAATTGATTATGTCAATTTATTTTGTAACTTTTATAATTCATTTGGGCACTCATTTTCCCACGTTACGTAGGTATTAACAAATGTGTAGAATGGTACTTTATTCCAGAGTGAACACCATCTATGAAGTAGCCATACTAACCTCTACCTTTCACTGCTATGCTCACTAGAAATTAAGGGTATATATGTCCTACCTGAAATTGCATATTTTCCAAGCACTGTCTACTTACAATATATACACTTAAAATATTGTATCAAACCATATTATGTTCATGAAAATGTATGATGAAAAAAGAAAAAAAAGATGCAGAAACCAATAAATCAAATCAAATCAAATCAAATCAAATATTCCTCTTCAGAATTTAGATATGACATCGATTTTTACAGAACTTTTGAAAATGGTGGAAAATCAATTAATATTTTATTTATCTCTCTTGTTACTGTATAACTATCATGGTATTTGGTATCATCAGAAAGACTGTACATACAGTTGTTAACCTATATTTACAAAAATGTCCCCTTTGGAATTATAATATAAATTGAGAGTATGAAGTATAGCTGAAAGGAAATTACTTGTTACTTTTAAAGTGTATTCTCCTTTATACCTACATTTTTTTCAAATGGTTTTGAGTATAAATGTGCCTCATGACTGTTATGTTTGTATGTTTTAGGTAGATAACTTACGTTTAGCACAGAATCTGTCTCTCCATCCTGGTGCGCATGTGCATGTCCCGCTGATATGATCACAGGTAGCGTTGTTGAGACACATACACAGGTTCTCACAGTTGACACCATAGAAGCCAGGCTCACAAGCTGAAGAGAGAAGAAAAAAATATTTAGGGTTAGAAACATTCTCATTCCTTGCCTTCATCAAAGCTCAGCTAGCTTTGCAACCAAAACTGCAATTACCTGGTGACAAGATGCTAAACATTTTGTATAATACAAGAAGTAAAGTTGACTTCTGACAATACTTAAAAGGCAAGTCCACTCCAAAAATAACTTACCGTACTTTCAATAGAAGCAGAAAAATCAGACAAACCAATAAAAAAAAAACTTGATTTCCCCATGCCTTTGCCCAGGTTATATGATTTGTATTATATTGCGTGTATGACATTTCACAAAATCTTTTATGAACTTTGAAGAATTGGCCTTTAAACTAAATTCTAGCGATTCCCTTCAGGATGAAATCTGATGTCTGTAATGACCAGTTATAATTTGCAGAATTATCTATTTAAACTAGAAGACCATCCCACCCCCTTCCCAAAGAAAAAAAAATAGTCATTGCAAACAGTGCATTTGATGAAGTGTTGTCCTTACTGTGGTGATGTCAGCAGTGGGATATGTACCTATGCAATAGACATGACTGGTGACTATTTCACTACAAACATGGTGATGATGGTGGGATATGAATGCTAGGAAAGTTGACCTTAAGAATAGAGAGTCTGACACTATGGCGGACAAAGAAAGAGGACAAATATACAGTTCCTCAGGTAGACAAAGGAACATCCCTTCACTGCTATTATGTAAAAATGTGTAGAACAGGTGAAAATGCATGTGACACCTGTTCTACACATTTTTACATAATAGCAATGAGAGGATGTTCCTTTGTCTACCACAGCAATTGTTGAGGGTAAAATGAGGAGCTGTATATTTTGTCCTCTTTCTTTATCCGTCATGTTCAGAGTGTGACATACATGGCCTTTTAAAGAAAAACTATCATTCTTTCATTTATTTCTTAGGCCCTAATCTTTTCTTACTCATTTATTGAATTTATGCATATTCACTCACATTGTTGTGACTGGAAATTAACAACAACAAAAAAAATTGAATTAATAAATAAACATTGATCATTGGTTTGTACCTTGGTCACACTGTTCTCCCCTCCATCCAGGAGTACAGATGCATTCTCCCGTCTCAGGATCGCATCCTGCACTGTTCTCACAGGTGCATCTCGTTGCACAGCCGACACCATAGAAACCAACAGGGCATTCTGAAAGACAAGCAGTGTAAAATGGATGGTCAGAACACAGGAAAATATTCCTCAATCTCCTCTGATTTTAATTATGACTTAAATGTTTGTTGTCCGTGTTGCTGATAGTCAAACTACAACAAGTGCACCCTGTTTTATCATGTGTTAAGAAGAAAGATTGTTCATTGTTATACACCAAATACACTTAATGATACTACATTTATGTATTCAGTCTGTGTTTCCAATGGGATGTGTACACCTCAGTTAGTAAGAATTCAGTAAGTCATTCTGTTCTAATCTGTAGAATGACAAGAAAGCCACAATAACATTATTCACAGAATGAAAATATTCATAACTTATACAATTTTGAGAGATCAATTTTCTGCAGATTCATCTCATACATGCATACCGTAGTTAATATCACTGTTTAAGAATCACATTGGCACCACAGGGTAGATGTGAGTTGGTCTAGTGGTACGTTCACCTTCAGGCAGACCCCAGTTAGAAAGTGAGTGACGTCTTTCGGATGGTGACATTAAAAGTCGGTCCCCAGACATAAATGTAAATAATCATATTTGATTGATACAAATCTGTAAAAACCTGATTAAAGACAAACACACTCTTTGTTTTAACCCATGGCCTAACCGAATTGGACGGTTCATGTATTAATCCTATGAGAATAAGGGAATTTGGCAGTCACTGGGTTAAACACTCACCGTCTGTACAGAACTGTCCCTTCCATCCCGGTGTGCAGGTACAGTCTCCTGACTCTGAGTTACATTCAGCTCCGTTCTGACACTGGCAATCGTGACGACACATTAGACCATAGCGACCGCTGGGGCAAGCTAGAAATAAAATACAAACGACACAATATGTTCATTAGTAATGAATAGCTATGAATCTTGACCTACCTTGACCTAAGCCTCCCGCACCATCTGGGAGATGTGTGATGGCTTCTGCTTCATGACCTCAAGTCAGATCTTCCTATCTTGTGACGTTCTGGTCTAGTAGCACAATCAGCCCTTACACAATCTAACCATTTCTTGGCTGGTCTACCCCGGGGCCTATCACCATGAATATTAGAAGTTAGGAGTATCTTTGGGTATCTTTGGGTAGCTATGAATACAACAACTTATCACAAATATCCCTCTTTTTATGGTGTTTATGAAAGAAAAATACTGCCTTCATCATATAGATGGAGAAGTTTTGTCCTCAATTTAACGTAGGCAAAGACACAAAGAAATCAGTTCCATGAATATGGAGCCTATGACATCACAGCCTATTTAAAATGACAGAGTTACCAATTTGTCTCTGTTCCATAGCGAACTTCATGACGTTAAAAGTTGTCTGCATTTGCTCAGACCTTCTTTTGATAAGTTTCTGCTTTTTTATTGTCGTTTAAAGCAACATATTTGGTGATGACTGTTTCCCTCTAAAGTACTTACGATCCCTGCAGTTTTCTCCAAAGTATCCCAGCGGGCAGAGACACTCTCCAGTGGTCTTGTCGCAGACCTTATCCTCAGTACAGGTACAGTTGCTCCTGCAGGAGATACCCCAGGTACCATCGGGGCAATCTACAAGGCAATCAAGTTATTAGGTTTATCAAATAAGTGTAACAAGACATTACAATTAGACTATGGGTGCGTTCAAGCGACACTTTTTCACCCTATAAACATGGTTTTCAAAGACATTTAGTTTAAAACACGGTTGCGTTCAAGCAATTTCAAGTGATTTTTTGTTGTATAACCGAGTTTAAAAACGCAAACATGTTTTATAACAGGGTTAGGTTTAGGGTTAGGGTTAGAGTTAGGATGATGCGATCCTTACCGTCCAGACAGCTAGTCCCGGTCTTGCCAGCCTCACAGAAGCATTCTCCAGTGATGCTGTTACAATCGTTTCCTCCGCATCGGCAGGTGAACTTGCAGTTCACTCCGTAGCTTCCAAAGTCACAAGCTGCAAAAGATGGAAAGTGTAAAGTCAAATTCTTTTAATCTTTTCGACTATTTTATCAAGCAAGACTGTAATTATTGAAGTCAAAATATTAAGGGGCAGGAGATAGACATTAAGCTAATATATCAAATCAAAATTTCTTTGTATATATTTGACTACATTAACTATATTAACTACAACGAAAGTCAAAAGACTAAGAACCACTACTAGACCCCTTTTTGCATGCTATGCTTCATAGTGTCCCAATAAAAGTCTATTTACATCTGTCACAAGCATGTATTGTCAAGTGAGTAGAACAACTTTATTACTTTCCAGGTTTAGTGCTACACAGTGTTCCGATAAAAAAAACTTTTACACACTTCTTTTGGGTAACTAGACTGAAAGTCAGGGTTTGATCCCCTATATCACTTTTCCAGTGCTATTGTACAAAGTGTCCCAACAAAAAAGTACCCACTTCTTTCACAGGCCTCTCCTGCCTATCAAGAGTAAAGAGAGAATGAACCTCCGTTTTCAATACTACACAGTGCCTCAACAAAATTCTACTAATGGCAGCCGTGCTAAAGCCAGGGTAATAATAATCTCCCTCTGCGCATCAGAATAGTTTACTAGATCGATGGCGCATACCGGTAATAAATGCTGTAGTATTATTATTACTCTCATATTCTCAATACTACACAGTGCCTCAACAAAAGTCTACTCACATCTTTCGCAGGCCTCTCCCGTGTACCCTGCCGAGCATTCCCTGCTGCATTCTCCGTTGACCTTGTTACACATGGAAGCATCAAGGCACTGACAGACGTGCCTGCACTGCTCACCGTACATCCCAAGACGACATTCTGTAACACAGGAATAAAGAGAAGATTTGATAATAATAATAATAATCTGGATTTAAATAGTACTTAAAGGTATCGTTTTACAATGTTAAATCTGAGATGCATGGCCCTAGGTGTTATCAGTGTATGTGATATGGTGTAATATTGAAACCCTAAAAAAATTGCGCTTCAAAATAATCATGAAGTGCCTCAAAAAAGTAAAAATCTTTGAGTGACCGGTTTTACCATACTCATTTTCACCAATAGACTGTAGTGATACAAAAAATGAAAAATGAATTATGATTGCAGCATGAGCTATCCAGGATTTTGTTTAGAATATAAGATAAGATACCAAATCCCTTTAATATGAAATATTGTCTCTAAGCGCTTTACATTTATAATGACCCTGGTCATTGGATTTATTCATGCACAATGTACACCATTTCCATAGATCCTCGAGCAGTGCATTTTTACAACTTTTCACTTTTAACCCTGCCCCTTATTTTGATAAAATTCACATCCCATGCCTGAAAGAAAAAAAACCATAACAAATGGGGTTTCATTTTAAAGAGAAATAAACATACTTTATAATTAAACTAAATATAGTGATGATTATGCAATAGCAAGAGAGGTAGAATACACATTCCATGAGTGACAAAAATCATAAGTGGGGTTTTATTTTAAAGAGAAATAACTATACTTTATAATTATACAAAACATAGTGATGCTTATGCAATAACAAGAGAGATAAGAATCAACCAAAGTTGAGTTTTTAAACTTTTATGAGGGTTTTTAACATATTGGCTCCTGAGAGCAAGAAGGAAACTTATTTTAAAGATGTTCATGGGTGGGTATATAGTCGTTTGTGAAGTAGGCAACTTGGCGATCACTACATAACACTGAGCCAACGGGTATCACGCTCCTGTGCGTACGTCCGTGTGCTGCCCTCTATATACCCACGCATGAGCAACTTTAAGTGCTATCAGTCAACTTCCTAAGATTCTCAGCTGACATTCTGAAACTAAGTGAAAAAGCTTGATTGTTCAAACGTCATATTGAATTTCAATCGATGAGAGGATCTCACCATTTTGACATCTGTCTCCTTCGTATCCAGGCTTGCACCTACAGGCACCTTCGACGGGATCGCATCCCAAGGAATGGACCGGATGACAGTCACACTGCTCATTACACATGCTGCCGTAGTAGAAGGCGGGGCATGCTGCAAGATGACAAGATGGAGAGATAAAATGAAATTAAAGCCTGTCTGCACTAGTTTGGCCAGGGGGGATTAGACCTCCCTGCAAGGTCACTGACAGGTAGTTATCTCATCAAATCAGCTCTCAATGAACATACCGTAAGAAAAAGGGGATCATAGGGGACCAACAGGCAACGATTAGGCGTTTGCTATATAGAGGACGCAAGTAGCTATAAGTAGTGCAGTGGGGCTTTAAGACAGTTAACCCTCTGTATAATGACCACCTCTCTATAGTTGTCACTTATACCTTTTCCAATCAATGGGATTGCATCACAAGGAATTGAACAGATGAGTAAAATATTGCCTTATAGGGGGAAAAAAAATCAAAAGTACAAGAAGGGGAGGATCGAAAGAAAGTACAAAAAGAAAAAGAGGAAAATAAAGAAGACTTGGGTGAAAATACTCCATATATATGATAGACGTGTGTCAAACATTTCACAACAAAGTCTATTGACAGTAAATTGGCAACACACAATTGAACGTGTACAAAGAAATACGACTTACGTTGACTGTAGTGAGGTGAAAAAATGCCATATATGATAGACATGTGTCAAAAATTTCACAACAAAGTCTACCAACAGTAAATTGGCAACAAACAACTGAGACCATACGAAGAAATAGGACTTACGTTGACTGCAGTGAGGTCCAAAGTAGCCGGCCCTACACAGGCAGGTTCCCCATCTCTCGTTACACGTGATACCGGACGGGCAGTTGCATTCCTTGACGCAGTCCTTGCCCCAGAATCCGGGAGGGCAACCTAAAGATTAGAGAGATAAATGTTTATCAAGTAGTGATATCATCTACAAAAGATATCAATAATCAACTATGGTCATAGATAGTTGGACTTATGAACGTATTTTCTGTTGAGAGCTAGGGTTAACTCATGTTCAGTACTTTGGATTTGAGACCCTTCTGGCTCTCAACAGACGACAGAAAAAGAAGAAGGAGAAGAAGAAGGAGAGGAAGAAGAAGAAGAAGAAGAAGACGAAGAAGGAGAAGAACAAGAACAAGAACAAGAACAAGAACAATAAGAAGGAAAAGAAGGAGAAGAAGGAGAAGAAGGAGAAAAAGAAGAAGAAGAAGAAGACGATGACGAAGAAGAAGAAGAATGAGGAGAAGAATGAGAAGAAGAATAGAAATAAAGAAGTAAAGAAGAAGAAGAAGAAGGAGAAAAAGAAGAGAAAAAAGGGGAAAAAAGAAGAAGAAGAAATAAAGAAGGAGAAGAAGAAGAGAAAAAAAAGGAGAAGAAGAAAAAGAAGAAGAAGAAGAAGGGCAGCAGAATGGGATTTTCTTCTGACAATTAAGGAGTTGAGTTAATGCTAATGTAAAACAATATAATTTGTAATAAATACCTTCAGTGCAACGAGGACCTTCGATTCCTGGTAGACAGGTGCAGTCACCAGTGATGGGGTTACAGGTTCCTCCATTCTGACAAAGGCATGGCTGCTGGCAATTCTCACCAAAGAAGTTGGATGGACAAGCTATTGGGAGAAAGGGGGAAGTCACTGTTACAAGCTATGATGTGGAGAGGGTCATGTAATAAGCTACGATTCAGTAAGGGTAGCCCTATCACCAGTGATATGTACAGCTAGGTTCCTCCATTATCACAAGAACGTGTCTGCCGGCAGTTCTAACCAAAGAAATTTGATTGACAAAGAGGGAGTCACTGTCACAAAATATGATTTTGAGAGGGTCTAAGTCAGACTTCAAAGAATTATAGTAATAAACCACCCTCAACAATATTATCGTCACGTTGGAATCGCTTGGCTATCGATTCTCGAGGAGCGCGCCACAATTTTGCTTTCTGGGAACTAATAAGTTTACACCTTCGACGTGGCTTCAGTTCAGAAAAATATTATAAGGGCAGTGTCCCATGTGCTTGATTAAGGGCCTCATTTCACAAAACCTGTCATCAGTGACAAACAACAGTTTTTGTTATAAGCTATTGAAATCCTTGCTTCTATCAGCAGATTTGTCACTGATTTTTGTCATTTGTCATTTAAAAAAGGCTTTGTGAAACGGGTCCCACACATGTCACGTCACCACTTTTATCATCCCCCTTACATTATACATGCAGCCACTTTCTCGTTATTGTATTAACCAATGCCGTTTCCATATAAAAATTAAAAAAAGGAAAACAAATTCTTAGAATGGAGGTTTCCGACTTACTCTCGTTGCAGATGGTGCCCTGCCAGCCGGGTAGACATTCACACCCGGTGAGATCTTGGTTGCAGCTGGCCCCGTTCATACAGTCAGTACACGAGTACTGGCACTGAGGTCCAAAGTTAGCCTCTCGACAAACTGATTCAATGAAAAAAAAGAAGCTAGTTAGTGTGAACAATAATATTCCAGATTGTCAGTTATCTGTAATCTTAAATGCATCGTTTCACAATGTTAAATCTGAGATGCATGGCCCTACGTGATATCAGTGTCTGTAATATGGTGTAATAATGAAGCCCTGAAAAAATTGTGATTCAAAATGATCATGAAGTGCTTCAAAAAAGTAAAAATCTTTGATTGACCAGTTTTACTATACTCGTTTTCCCCAATAGACTGTAGTGTTATGAAAACCGTTAGGAAAACACAAAATTTGATTTTGATTTTCAATCATAAATATCTTGATAATCAGACAGGCGATCGGCTTGTAAAAGTCATGGGATTCCTGACTGATTCAGAATCTGAGGCAATGTTTCTGAGTCACTTCGAAGGATGTTTGATCACCAAAGAATATTTTCACTCTGCATTGGTGTGTTGAAACTTCAATAACAATCAGTATACGAGTGACTGGCACTGAGGTCCAAAGTTAGCCTCACTACAAACTGATTCACTGATAGAAATGAAGCTAGTTAGAGGAAAATTATTGGTACTCTTCAAAGATAAAGTCGAGTTACGGTCATGCATTTACATATTCACTCAAGCAGTCTTTATATACTATCTTCACTGATAGAATAATGTTTCTCATTAAAAACCTGTGCATAAAGACCACCTGCCTATAAAGACCACCTTTCATGTTTCACTCGAGCAGTCTTTATATACAGTTTTCACTATTTAAATACTTACAGCTTGTTTGCGGTCCCTGCTCCAGCTGGCCTGTACTTAGCTCACTGTTTTGGAAAGGAGGGAACTGGAAGCTTGGAGATGACGGAGTTGGGCGTGTCTGCAACACTATAATGGGAAGAAAAGCCCCAGGTTGGTGGGGGAGAGAGGTTGAATATAACATTAAGCTCCAATTCTTCATCAATCAATCTAAATTTTTATCTAAATACAAAAATGATCACTTCATAATTTTATATTCAATGCGTGTAACAAAGTTTATATTTTAATAACCAACCTTCAATGCAAAATAATATCATACATTGTCAGGAGCAGATCACAGAGTTTGTAAAAGAGGGGGCACAATATTCCTAAAATTTTTAGACAAAGACAAACAATTTAAAAACAATTTTTACTCCTAAATTCTCTGAAAATGAATCACACGAGACTGTGTTTAACTGCTAAAGCCAGGGTAATTATGCTGCATTATTGTAGAGCGCTTAGAGACTTCTGACAAAGTAAGTGTTAGGCGCTATATAAGCACTGTAATTATTAATTATTATTATTTGGTCACGAGAGAGTGAGCTGTAAAAAGAAAAATATCGGACCACGAAGGAGAGGAAGACTTACTTCTAAGACACGAGAAACCGTCGTCGCCCAGTTGGAAAGAATTGTTGCATCCGCACAGGTACGATCCTTGCGTATTGGTGCATGTCTGATCACATTGGTTACTGCTACGCTGTGCACACTCGTCAACATCTGAAATCAAACAACACCATTTATTCATTTATTTCTGAACCCATTGACTACTGAATTCTGTCCTAGGTTTTAATAAAGAAAGCACCCATATTTATCAATCCTTTTAATCGTACAAAATATTCAACATTCAAATAAAGAATGAATGTTAATACCGAGTGCCCCAGTTGCGTAAAACTTAGCATTAATGGAAACTTTTTGTTATTAAATTTCTCGAAAGCAGAAGTTATAATACATCCACAGGGGCATCCAAATATATTAATATTTAAAGAATTACTATCCATCCAATTTTCAAAATTTCCCCAAACTTTGCATTTCCTTTAACAATGCATGAAAAAAACTAATTCATTTTACCGAAAGTTTCTCTTACCGATACAACTGCATCCATCATCACTCAGGAAGAATCCGGGACGACAGAGACAGGTGTAGCTGCCCTCGGTGTTGATACACTGGTGAGTGGCCGCGCAGCAACTCTGGCCAATGTTACACTCGTTTTTATCTAGAACAAACAATAGAAAATGAAATCATGTTATAGAAACTACATATGATTAACAACTAAATTATTCATACACCTTGTAAATTTGATGTTTTTTGGGGTTGTTCGTATTTAACTCAAGAATGAAAGGGGGACTAGCTGATTTAGGGCCTTTGTTGAATAGTTTAAAGGTACTATGTCCCTTTTGCAGCCAACCTCAAATTTTGTAGAACTTTGCAGGAATAATGAATATGTCTTGTATGTCCTATCTGTGAAATTCAAACTTCAGCAGTGACCTAATATTCAAATTATGCAAGGAAACCCGTTTACTTGCTAGGCTTCACTGTCAGACACTATTGAGTGACTGACTGGCTTTTTTTCTTCTTTGGTAATAACATACATGAAAAGAGTTGTAAAGGGTACATGAGCATTTGTCTACATCAATAACCCACTACTTGTGATGGCCAAGATTAAACTGATTGAATCTTTGCGCAGCATAAAACGTATGACCATTCGGTACAATTGTCTGAAAATCAAGACTATTATTTTTGGGCTCTATAGCCCTAAAGTCGATTTGACAACTAATAGTCGTTATTTTCCCACTTGAAGACATTTTCAAGCCCCACCTTTTTCAGGGAAGTTCTAAATTAGTATTATCTTTCAAATGCAGTTGGAATTTAACTTTTTCATGGGACATAGTACCTTTAAGATGTAAGCTTTAATGTGTCATATTCCTAAGAAATATAAATGGGGACAAATACATTTTTAACATACATAAAAAATTGTCAAAACTTGGGTAAGAGTATGAATGATTTAGTTGTTAACTGTATATTCTGGAATCATCTACAACATCAAATATAAGAAGAAAGGCCAAGTTCTATGAAAACTGTTGTTTATTTAAAATTTGAAGAAAGAAAAAAAAAATTATCTTTATAAGAAATCTTCAGAGTAGTTGATACATCGTTTATTACATCGTTTATTACATTGTGTACTAATTGTTTGTTACATTGTTTATTAAATCATTTATTACATCGTTCATTACATAGTTCATGAAATCGTTTATTACATCGTTCATTATATCATTTATTACTTTGTCTATTACATTCCTTAATTACATCGTTTATTACATCATTTATTACATCATTTATTACATTGTTTATTACATCATGTATTACAGGAATGACCACACCACCCAAGCATTGATCCTTCATATCCTTACCTTGGCAATTTCTTTGATCGGGTGAGAGCTCGAAACCTATAGGGCAGGTACAGACAGGCCTGTTCCATTTCATGGTGCAGTTGAACTGGCATTGGTGGTTCTCACACGGGTCGATGGGCTCGATGTCGATGATTGCTTGCACTGCAAATGTGTCACCATCAAAAATATGTAAATACACAGTTAAATATACCAATGCATATGATAGATCAATATGTAAATACTGTGTAAATACTATGTAAATACTGTGTAAATACAGTGTAAATACTATGTAAATACTATATAAATACTATGTAAATACTGTGTAAATACTATGTAAATACTGTGTAATATATGAATACCTAAACATGTTATACAAATGATGCAAATGAATGAGTCCATTATAAGATCTATCTTCACTTGAATTGAGGCTGTATGTATCTATCGATCGAAACTGTCAGGCTGATTGCATAAGCAGCCTCAGCAAGAGTGGATAGATCTTGTACTATATGTACTATATGTAATATGTGAGTATCTAAACATGTTATGCAAATGATGCAATAAATGAGTTCATTATAAGATCCATCTGCACTTGAGTTGAGGCTGTATGCATCTATCCTACAAAGCTGTCAGGCTGAATGCATAAGCAGCCTCAAAAAGAGCGGATAGATCCTGTTATAAACAAATGAAAACATGCATCATTAGTCTTATACAAAATATATAATATATATATAAATACTTATAGAAATATATGTGTATGTACATGTTTTTGCAAAAAATAGTGTACTTTATATAAATGTGAACTCACAAAGCCAAAATAAGGGCAAAATTGGAGCCCATTATGCACTGTTTCACGCATCAAGAGCATCATGTCTTGTGGGAAAACGTTCTTGAACAGGTAGTCATTTTTTAACTATACCAACGCTCAGGCGTTACGCCTTAAAATACAAAGCGATACAACCGGGTGGGAACCCTGGCATTCTACTCACGTTTACATGTCCTGCCGTTTGTTTCAAGCATGTAGTTAGTGACGCAGCTACAGCGGTATGATCCGACGGTGTTGGTGCACTCCTGCTGGCATACATGGTTCCTGGTAGCACACTCATCAATATCTATTATTAAAAAAGGTCAACAAAGAATTTGTTATTCCCTGAAGCTAATAATAATAACAATAACAATAATGACAACAACAACAACAATAATAATACTATCAGTGATACTATGCCTGTTTACCCAGGGTAGCTTCATCAGTATCAATACTGTTTCCCGAGGGCCCTACGATCATATTGTTATCTCAGCTTCAATTGAGCTTCCATGATAAGGTACTTGAGCATTGAAAGCATTTTTTCTTACTAGGTACCCATTTACTACACCAAGGTGGAGAGTGGCAAATATAGATTGTCTTTTTCTTTCCTTTTCTCCATTTATACAGCACATTGGAAAATATTTGTGATATCCCCTTTATAAATATGATATTTCATTATGGCTAAGTTTGAACCCAATGCTGGGTCTAAGCTTGATGTAAAGTCAAATTTTAAAGAGGGTGTTAGACCAGCGTCTATAGTCTATACAAGCTTTTCCTTTCTTTAACATACAATAACAGGTTTGACTGAAAGAGTAGAGTTTAAGGAACATTGAGGCCCTCTATTGTACGTACCTTCACAGTTATTCCCATCTTGCGCTAACCTGTAACCAGTGTTACAGTTGCAGAAGGCTCTATCACCCATGTTGAGACAGGTGTGTTCGCAACCTCCGTTGTTGATGGCACAAGGGTTTGAAGCTAAAAGGACGCAAAAGATGGGATTAATTTATCGGTGACTGGACAACATTATGCTCTGGTGTGCTTTGCTCGACAGCCGTTATTCTACACTAACCGATTTCTTAACGTCGACCTTGGACCAAACACGACACTTAACCTTCCTCTAACCCTTGAACCTAACCTAAAGCCAAACTGTGACCCTAACCCTTACCCTAACCCTTGACATGTACTATTAGCTTTGATGACATTGAGCCCTAAACAAGCTGGCATCAGAGTCAATGTTGGAGCATTCAATGTTACATTCTAAAGAAACATAAATCAGGACACACACAAGTTCCCAAACATGTACATAAAAAGTTACAGAATCTTGGTAAGGGTATGAATAATTTAGTTCTTAACTGTATATCTAAAGTCCTTCATAACATTGATCTAAAAACATTGACAACTTTCATAAATCGCTTTACATTTTCCTTTTTGGGGAATATCGGATAAAATCTGGGCCATCAGGCATTTGAACCGTCACTATGTTCCAATGTGGATTTCTGTTGATATAAAATATTTCATGAGCTCATATATATATATAAGAATCTCAATTTTCAGTAAATTCTCAGTGTAAATTCCCTAATTTCCCAGGCAGGATATTTAGGAGGACAAATATTTCTTTATCTTGAAAATAAATCTATATTCTTGAGGATTATTTCATCTTGGGGGGGGGGGGTTGTCCGAGACACATGTACAGCACGAACACGTTTGAAAAATGTTACAATGTTAATTAAAACTTTGTGTAAGTCAACCAAGACACCAAACAATTATAATTTGGGATAAGGTACAGAGACAGGAATATATAAAATTGTGCATTAAATTTGGGTAAAAGAAAGCAAATACAGAGACAAAAAGAGGGAATATATATATTTTTCCATTTATGAAAAAATGCTTCCAATACCCGACAAAAGAATAAACATAGTATTGGCATTTATACAATTTCTTTTAAATGTAAATGTATATGCCTGCAGTTCATGGCCCATACATGTGCATACATAATACATATATTAAATTATATATTTTATTTTAATGATATTTGAATATCAAATCCCAGGTACCATTTGAAATCATAACGAGTAACAATATTTAAGAACAAGCGAAACAAAGTATACATGCCAGATAAAAAAAAATTGGGAGGTTAAATAAATTCATTATAAATGCTTCATTATCATTTTGAAGTATGATATTTCGCAGAGAGAATTAAATCATAAAATAGATATTGTTTGCATAACAGATTGGTATACTTTCATTTTTTGTATGTAGCATGCAGTACAAATATACATGTCTAATTTGCAACAAATAGTGGAGAATCATGCAAATATGACATATGATGAACACTTATATCAAAGAGAGAGAGAGGGATAATGTCAATATGACATTACAAAGACTTGGGGTCATAGAAACAAAAAAACATAGCAAAAACATGCACAGAGTTCATGTAAAATTTTATAAAAAATGAAATTGTGTTAGGATTTGATAAAGGTTGTGTATATATAAAATCATGTATGATTCTAACTGCTAACAGACAGGAGTCAGGTGTATAAAGAACATAATTGATTTCATCAACCTGGAAATAATTTTTATTGGTTATCATATAGTTCATCAGATAGAAGAAGGGATTTTTGATTACCTTTTTTAAAACAAACTTATAGCAAATCATTGATTTTGATTTTATCCCCAATAAAATCAAATCCCAAACTGCACCCAATTTTGAACAGGAATTTAAAATCAATGCAGACAAGGAAAAAACCTTCTTTGCTTGATCATTCCTCTGGATTTTGCCTTCTAAATTTTGATGTTAACTTTCGATGTTCTTGCATACATGCACGGAGATATTATATAATCATTAAACAAAATTGTAAGGGGCGTTTAATGGGCGTGCATTTGTATCAGAGGTGCTGACGAAACTCCGTCGGACTTACGTTGACACGACCTCCCGTCTCCGGCCAGTCTATAACCGGCGTGACACTGGCAGGAGAAGTGACCGTAAGGATGCGAGAGACATTGGTGCTGGCAACCGCCGTTGTTGATTGCGCATCCGTCTTGAGCTGTCGTCGTTTAATAATGATTTTGTTATCAATATTCAGAAGGGTGGGGGTTTGATAGGGAAGACAGAAGAAGTACAATTATAGAGCATGGTTTGGTGGTGACACACAGTTAGACACAGCATGAATGAGTATTCTCTTTTTGTAAAAACACAAGCATGTTTGAAAGTTTTATTTTGGAGGTCTGTCCTTTTGGAAATGGCTCTCGATATTCCTATCAAGAATTTGTTTCTATCAATTCCCTATCATATCAGATGTTTTTGCTTTATCTTTTGATCCAGCATGCTGAGAATTACACATTGCACATGAGCAGAAAAAGTAATGATCACAGAAAATTTTGAGTCTATTTCCAAAGCAGTTTGTTGTGTCGTTAATTAAGAGAGATTTAATTGTAACTAGTGATTAAAGTCTCTAAGTAGGCAAGGCGGTGTTAAATATGAATAAATTTTTTGGGGGGTACAAATTGACAATTTTTTATTTTTTTTATACAATTCTTTCACGCTGGTTCATTCAATGAATATTTCTCTTTTTTACCAGTTTTAGGTGGGGAACTAAATAAATTGAGAAAATAATGAAAATCTGAACTGTTATAGGTTAATTATATCAATAAAGACTGGATTTTTCAATGATCAAAAAGTAACTTTCAAACATGCTTGTCTATAGAATGGAGGATACAAGAAGTATATATACTTTGTCTAGAAAACAAAGCTCTTTCAGACTATGAATCAATGATAATAATAATTGTTTTAGTGCAAGAAGTGCCTAAGCTATAATATACAGCAGGCCTTCTCCCTCCTTCTATCAAATGATACTAATCTATATCAAAAGTTACAAGAATGAAAGCTCAAATCTATATGGAATATTAAAAAGAGGTGAACTTTTCTATAAAATAAAGCTAGAAAAATACTTCCATGTTTTGCATGAAGAATTATGGATAGCTTAAAGAATACAGATACATATAGATAACTGCAAAAGGACCAGCAGATTTGCAAGAAGTAATTATACAGATGTAAGAAATTCATAATGACACAAAACAAATAGCATTTGGTTTCATAGCATGGATAGTAAAAATTCTTGAGGCAGGTATATGTCTTTTTTTAAACACACTTTCTAATATGCCACAGTTCTAGAAAGTAGAGAATGAGAAATATAAAATGGAAACTTGTCTTCAGGGGCAGAGTGTTTGGACTATATATAGAAAGCTAACCAACAATAAGGGTTTTGATTTGAAAGAGACTTAAAGCATGGTTGAGAAAGGAATATGAAAAGCTTTTAGAAAATGCTACAACATACCACAGCCTAGAGCATATTGGCATATATAAATATATATGTGTTGCAGAAGAGTACAGATAAAGGATATTTCATTTTTGGGAGGGTTTAGAATATTCTACCCATGGTTCACCACAACACAGCAATCAAGTAATAGTAATACTAATGAAAAGTTTTCAGAATACAGTACTCTACATCTAAATGAGAGCTAAATTAAAGGAATATTTTTACGACATCAGTAGATAAATGGATATATATATATATATATATATATATGTAAATGGAATGTTCTATTGACCAAGCAACCTTTTGTTTTGACCAGGGAGAGTTTCACAAAACTTGTCATCAGTGACAAATGACAGTTTTTGTTATAAGCTACTGAAATCCTTGCTTCTGATTGGTTAACAGCAGATTTGTGACTGATATTTGTCATTGTCATTGAAAAAAGGTTTTTGTGAAACACCCCCCTGAGAGAGTTTTTAGGAGATTCTTTGAGCGGTCTTACGAGTGCAGGTGACACCGTCGGGGTTGAGTCGCTCTCCGAAGGGGCATTCACACGTGAAGCTTCCGTGGGTGTTACGGCAGGTGTGCTGGCAGCCTCCGTTGTTCTGTTCACACTCGTCGATATCTGTGAAATGAGAAATTGAAATTAATGATTTTTCTTCTATCGCATAACTTTTGTATCAATTTTGATCTTTGATGAAGTTCAAAGATGGTCAGCAAAGATTGTCAAGGGGAGTTTTGATTTAAACTGAATGAGGAAAATGAAAATGTGCGACCAAGGACCTATGGTAGAAGTGGAGGATGCTGTTCACATTCGTTGCCGCTTGCGGGGTGAGAATTTGGACATGATAGAAATGGCTTCCAACCTTTGCATGACTTTATCTCACTTTTGAGAGAAAAAGCGTGAGAGGTCTTAGCGTGACTTTTTTTCTTTGTGAACTTCAAACACTACCTCATTCAAATTTCTTTCTGCAATAAAGTCATCTACAAATGTGAAATCAGATCACTTCCTTGTACTGGCTGTCCTATTTTCTCTAAACAGTACAAAATAAACGTTCTTAATAAATGAGCAACAGCAAAAATGTTGTTAGTGAATGAATATTTCAATTACCTCTACAGCTGAATCCATCCATGGCAAGTTCAAATCCAACATCGCATTTACAGTAGAAGCTACCAATGGTGTTACAGCATCTACCACTGCAACCTCCATTGCTGAAAAGACATTCGTTGGTATCTGGAAGATAAAAAGAAGGAGAAGAAAAGAGAAGAAGGTTAGTTAAATGCCATCATGTAACCCATTCCCTATCGGAATATATTTATATCATAACTTTGGGAAAATAATATCTTGATGTTTTTACTTACTGGCACACCTGACTAGTGCAGGTAAAAATGCTATTACAGATAATCTTATGATTGGTTAGAACTTAAAAGTTGTACACATTTTAATGTTGCAGTTCTCCTGGTGAATTACAAAAAACAAAATAAGATACACAGAAGGCTACAGGAGTATGTGCGAAAGAGAGGGAGAGGGAGAAGGAGAATGAAAAAGAGAGAAAGAGGGGAAAAGAGAGATAGAGAGAGAGGGAGAGGGAGAGAAAGAGGCAAGTCGCAAGAGAGAGAGAGAGAGAGAGAGAGAGAGAGAGAGAGAGAGAGATGAAAGAAGGGAAGCAGGTTCAAATGTAGTATTTGTCGCAGTAGGGGACCATGTAGATTTAGTAGGTTTATTTCAAAAGAATTGTGTCAGCTGGGTGGATCCAGAACGTAAAACTGTTCAGGTTCAGGGCTCTAGCTGTTCAGGTGACGACAAGAAAATGTCATGTGATGTGTGGGCCACCCATTATAGATACCACCATGACATCCCCCAAAGACATTTGCAAAAACTTGAATTTCTAACTCTAAGTTTATGTTAGCAAAGCTACGATGATGTACATTAGTACTGATAACTTCTGCAAAGTGTTCAGGTGTTGTCCAAATTTGAACAAACTATGTTTCACTAAGCTTGTTGTTTGAGGTGATTTTGATGAATGCTAGTTTTGGTATGGCTGGAGTGTCAAAAGTATCAATGATTCAAAGCATCACTTATGATGGGTTGCCATTAGCAACTGCTCATATCCCTACATGTAGTGAACATCTCCCTCTTCACTTTTTGTGCTTATAATGATTATATGTTGCTGTGATATTCTAGTATTAATTTTTTTTTAACTTTGATGTTACATGCACTGAAAACAAATATGCATCATATATACAGACAAAGGAATAGATGAAGAGGGCAATTGATTATATGATTTCTCTATTACATCATTTTTGAGAGACATTTTCATTTCGGGAAAAGAGGGTGTTTTTAATTGAAGCACAGGTTTTAAAAGCATTTGTCACATCAAGAAATGAAACTCGGAATCATACAAGAGAATGTGACAAACCCCTAAGTACATAACTTCAAGCTCAATCACTGATCATTTATTTCCAAATCTCTCGTTTAATCAACACAACACTTCCTTTCTATTTATCGCCATGACACTTTGTTTATAAGCATCACACTCACTGCACAATCTTGCTCCACCTCCCAATGTATCAATACATCTAGCCCATCAGATCGTATTCAAGGACTAGATTTTCTGTTTACAAGTGACCATCACCCCACTAACTTAATATCTCGCTATTCCTTTTGGCAGTCTTGTCGAACTTTCTCCCCAATGTAGGCTATCGGTTTTTAATCTCGCTGCATGGAACATTCTATCTCTACAGAGTTGTCTACAGAGTTAGATCGGGTTTCCGCAGGGAGCCTTGAACTTTTCACTTGCGATACTTCAAGAGTGCAAATGGTTCAGAAGTTGATGCTATATCATGAGGATATGTCATCTCCCATCAGCCCTGCCGCGGATGATCACTGAATTGGTGATGGAATTATAACGGAAGGGGGAAAATGGTAGGGAACTCGAGATGCCATGTGTCATAAGAATAAGAAATGCATGTGATGGAGTTTGTTCAAGAAGTTGGAGAAAAGCGGATGTTCGCAATTTGAAACCTGATGATATTGTGGGAGAAAGTTGCGGGTAGTTAATGGTTCATTATGTTCAGATGCTCTAAAGAAAAAGGATATTATTTTGACATTTCATGTGGCATTTCCACATTAACCTTCTCTTTGCAAAGTGTCAACTGAAGTTAACTTCATCATAACACATAGTCTGTCGACAGCCAGAAGGGTGTTACACTTTTTATGAAAGGACATTACATATAATTAATGCTCTTCCGGCTATCAGCAGAAAATATATATATTTCAAGAAAATAATATTTACCAAATCTAAAGCAGGTCATGATGGTCTTCAATATTTGTTATCCTACCTCTACAGTTTCACAGTGGTGATATAGGATCAGTGAATTAAGTAATTTGGTTTTCAGTTGAAAATAAAGGGTTTCCCAAGTTCGAGACAAAATCAGTCCATTCCTGTGGTTTAGACATTATCTTCAACTACTTCTAGACCCACGGACAGGATTAAAAAACATTGGTCCTCAGAAATTTAATTAACAGCGTATATTTTGCTTTCCTAATAACCCAAGCAAAATTGGCAAGCAATCAACCGTTGTTACAGAAGATTACTAGGGGAGGAGTCTTCAAAGAACTTCTGTATCTACAGTTTAGGGAGCTCCTGTGCCGACAAGTTCAAGTAGGTGAAATCAATAGAACTTTAGAAATGAACGGTAGGAGGACATGGCTGTAAAAGAAGTTACAATCGACCTAGGAAAGTTTGGAGAGTCCACTGGGGGAGGGAGGGATGGGAGGTGGGCACAATGTCACATTCATGGAAACTAATATGAGAGAAAGGAGATTTATGGTAGAATCCCTCTAAAGAAATGGACCGAGGGAAACTGGAGAAGGGCCTAGCTCTAACAGCTGGTGCTCTTGGAGGTGGATGCACTCACAGTTTAAAGCCAAAGAACTTGCTGGCTGAATTTAAACTTTACTACCGTTCTACCACTTTACCTAATCAAGGTGTTCCAAATAATCCAGAATTTACTTTAGTGACAAATGTTCTCTTTTTTAAATTTCATTACAGATACAGGGCTTTTACATCATGCAACGAGACCAACACCAGACCGACATAGATGTTCTCCAGTGAAACTATATGGAGCCATGACAAAGTTTCTTTTCCTTTTGTTCACCCCTCCCAAGGTGTGGTGGGTAACACAAAGGTTGTTATCGTTGGAAGTCTCTTCAACTCCCTTGGAGTTTCAGTAAAACTAAAAATGTCCCTTTTCACAGACTTACGTCATGTCACGCTGAGCCGTCTCAAGCACGTAGACCATTTAGCAGGATGATTTATCCTCCAAATATACTAAAAGATACAAACTTTTATCCTAGGAGATATAAAGTTATCCTGGAAGATTAGCACTTTGTTCATGAAGTTGTTCAAAACTTGGCAAATCCTTATTGTTCCTCTCGCTGTAGTCAGACTGATTTTGTCCTCTTCTGTCAACCAATGTCATACACAGTGAGCTGTGTTTGCAAATTTGCAAAATTTCATCAATTTTCTCTTGCAATATTTTCTCATTTTTTATGCATACGCTAGAAGATTAAAACTTTCTTGTTTAAAAGATTGTTTAAAACCCATTTGATTTTCTCCTTTCGCTCCTTCTCTATAAACCTTTACCACGCCTGATCATCAAACAATCATCTGTCTGTGTACCTGCAAAAATTCATAAATTATCTCGGTAAACTTTTCTCCTTCTTTACATTATGATATTCTAGATAGTGTGTTAGTAGAACGAACAATCCCGATGCGTAATAAACAATAACCAGTTTTTTTTAATTCATTTCTTAAAACTCTTTTTGGAATATCATAATTTTCTGTGAGGTTGTTTATAGCACAAATGTGAAAAAAGAAGCACAGTTCTAGAAGCTCAGACATTCTTCTTTGATCATGAAGGCTTTATCCCGAAAGTTACTAGAGAAAAAATGATTCTTTCCTCTGGTGGTTACGAATGTGATACTATTGTGGAATTGTTGTGGCAAGATATTTCTGAAACCACAACACACATCTCATCAATCAATACCAAGCATGGGGCATAGGATTGAACAATTACATTGGGATAAGTACAAGTAACTTTTCTGTTCCTGTTCCTGTTTCTCTTGCTCTTGCTCTCTCTGTCTCTGTCTCTCTCTCTCTCTGTCTCTGTCTCTCTCCTCTATCTCTCTCTCTCCTCTATATCTCTCTCTATCTCTCTCTCTCTCTCTATCTCATTCAGTCTAGTACACAAATACACATTAAAACCCTCAGCCCCACCCTCTTTCTTTCTCATCCGTTCATGAATTTCTGCAAACTAATTGTTCACAAAGACAAATAAGTGCAACTGGAATTTATTTGATAAATCAGTGAGCAAGCACATAGCAAGGGAAAAGCACATACCAAGAGGAAAAGATCATTTTAAAAAAGACAGTTACAAGTAACTTTCAGATTCTCTTGGCTAGTGTTCTCTTTCTCTCTTCCTCCCTCCATCTGTCCCTCTCTCTCTCTCTCTCTCTCTCTCACACACACACACTCTCTCTCTCTCTCTCTCTCTCCATCTTTTCCCCCTCCCCCTCTCTCACTCTCTCTCTTTCTCTCTCTCTCTCTCTCTTTCTCCATCTCTCCTTCTGTCGGAAGGGGATCAAGGGCTGAGGTGTTGTATTTCTTGCGAGCGGCAGGTGCAAACCTCACCTTCACCTTCCTGTTCCCCCTTGTAAGACGACCCCCCCTCCCCCTCCCTATCTTTTTCCCTCTCTGGCCTGGCCTACCAAAGACTTTCCGGGGGTATCCCACCTAAGCTGCTTCTAATCGGTAAATGACCCCAAGAAATGAGTACAATTGAATTCATATTTCTGGTTAAGGCTCTGCGGAAGTTGGCTTTAGCATTGGAATTTCTTTAGCTCTTTGAAGTTCAACTACAATATTTGATTACTTGGGTTTTTTGGAGAGAGAGAGAGAGAAAAAGAGAGAGAGAAAGAGAGAGAGAGAAAGAGAAAGACTGATTTTATAACGTACTGCATGTGCTGGGAAAAGATGTTGTGTACATGCATATCTAAGCATTGTGCAAAGGCTTTATTGGTTTGAAACAAAAGGAAATCACAGACTAAAATACAGGAAATTGTGTATTTTTTTAAGCGAAATTTTCTTTGATGATAGTTTTTTTGTTTAATTCAAAATGCCCTTAAAGTTCAAGCACCACTCAACAATGCACAAATATGCTTGCTTTCCTGGTAAGACAAGTGGCA